TGGTTCATATTTACAAGATGAAATAACATCCCGAGTAATATCCGCATTTTAAGGGACCATACTCGCAAACGTTTGTTGCAGTCGCGTCAACGCAACGGTCGGTAGAGTCGAAATACACTCAAATCATTTTGACGCCACGTCTCCGTGGTACATTGGCGTTACAAAGATATTAGTTTGTATCAAGAATTACATATGAAAGGTGGTAGAAAAACGTAGTAGCTGTGTGCGATGACCAATTCGACACAGAATTATTCTAAAAGAAATACAGGAACATTTAAGCATTTAATTCAGTTCATCAATGAACATATAATTAAAAAAATATATTCATTATTTCTTGAATCAAAAGGCTTAATATGAAAGCACTTTTAAACCTTTAGTAAACGGGAACTTAAGTAAGGATATACCCAGTATTTTCTATTCTTCCTCACAAACTGTAAACCCATCTTTTTTGTTCTTAAGACGAATTTACTCTGCCTTGTTTCGGGACAGAAGTCAAGAACACTTGCAAAGTCACCCAAAAAAGCTCAACGTTCTTCAACTTATATCGAAGGTTGTGTGGAAAAAATTAGGAACTACAACCTAAAATCTCCCCATGGCTACATATCAGAGTTATAAGGTTTATGATAACCTACGGGTCGGTGGTATGGTGGTCAAAGTCAAAGACTTGGCCCTAAGAGGTCATGCTGAATCTAAGGGCAACTAGCTACGTCTAAGAACTACTTTCTAGCCTACTACAAAAGACTGAACCATGTAAACAAGGTACTCTAAACAACGATTAAATGATTCCATAATATATCTGAAAGGGGAGAGGAAATGGGAGAGAAAAAATTAAATTTAATCTAATCTGACGCAATTTATATAATATAAAAACTGTTTAATAGATTCCTAAAACATATCATGCACTATCTAAATTTTTCAAATGCAGTTTCTGCCATTGGGCCTTAAAATTCTGTGTACCTAAATGAATAAAATTCCAATCTGAATGCGAATGCTTTGAATATTGAGCTCGCTTAAATTACTTTGATTAATTGAATCCCTAAAACTAGAAGAAGAATTGCCACAAAGAAACCCTATATGTTTATAAAATTGAAAATAGTTCTTCGGTCGTCTGGATTTGGTGTTTGACGGCGCATGTAATTAAAACAATGCCAGTGGTAATTAAATTCCATACATTAACATGATTTATAATTTTTTTTTCTAGATTTTAATTTGCAATATTATTCTATTCTTAGTGGATTAATTTACTCAATAATATATATTATTATAGGTTGCTTCAAGTTATTACGAGCGGACTATTAATAACTTTATTATTTTAAGAGTTACGATATCGGTCAAATGGGCAGAGTAATAGGATGTGTCCCTTTATGGCGTGATAAAGATTTTATGACCTTTCTACGAAGGCGTAGAAGGGCCTTCTAACTTTCTAACTCAGAAAAAGTGTACTTTTACAAAACTTTTACACCGAATAGATAAATAACATTAGAAAGGAAAAATTGTATCTTAATTAAAATCTGAAAACAAAAAAAAATAGTTTAAATAATAATTTAAAAAAGCAATATACATATTACCTATAAAAAACAACAAAATAATGTCAGTACTATTATAATACACTATTATAGAAACAAAACTCATAAACAAAAGTAATATGTAAGGTGGGAGAAGTTGAATTGCCCCCATTTCACTTAGGCCTATTGTGTATCCTTCAGGATCATATAGAACTTGCCTCTTAGCTCGTCAAAGATACCCTCATTTTTTGGAAGTAGCCATTTGAGCTTCTACCACCCCAATGGTTAATGGTAATGCGGGTAATTATTTCTTATTTGCCCCAGGAGGATGCACAATGGAGCTAATGAGAGAGAGAGAGAGAGAGAGAGAGAGAGAGAGAGGGAGAGAGATATGCTTTATTGTCGTAAAAAAATTTACAAAAATTTTATAGACAAAGCGTGTAACTTAAATACTAAACATATTATAAAAATAACTAAACAGCAGAAAAAACAAACAGAAACAGACAAAATAGGAATAACAATTGCAATGGATATGCAATATCCGTCATTATAATTATTCTAATTTAATTTTTAAATTTAAATTTAAACTTTAATATTTAATTATTTAATTAATGCCATTGTATGTGGAACTCAAATGTCTAAGGTACGTTATAAAATTCTGCTACTGTGTAATATGGTCTTTCTAGAAGAAAAGCTTTAGCCAGTCTTCGGAACTTATCGTAAGTATTTATAGATTTTAATTGCATCGGAAGGTTATTATACAATTTTTTGGCATTGTAGGTAATGGAATGTTTTAATAGGTCAGAAGTGGGCATTGTTAAATAAACATCAGTCTCTAAATTTCTTGTAGGATATCTACGAGTCAGTCTTTCGGATACATTTTGAATGTGCTTGCGAACTAAGCAAACGGATTCGAAAATAAATAGAGCAGGAAGGGTTAGAATTTTGAAATTTTTGAAGTAATTTTCGCAATGTGTCCTACTACTTAAACCAAATACATAGCGGATTGCTCTTTTTTGCAGTTTAAAAATAGATTCGAAAAGGTATAAGCTACAAGAACCCCAGAAAGGTAAACCATAGCGAAGGTGAGATTCGAATAAGGAAAAGTAGGTTATTAATGCAGTAGAAGGAGTCAGCTCTTTAGAAGCCGATTTAATGGCAAAACATGCGGAGGATAATTTTTTTGCTAAGGTATCTATATGAGCAGACCATTTTAGAGAATCGTCTATATAAAGACCTAAAAACTTGATTGAAGTCACCGTTTGGATCAGATTATTGTTTAAAGTTATAGGTTGTAAAGAACCTCTGTAAGACAATGCTACAGTTTTACTGGTGTTGAAACAAAGTCCATTCGAATCAGACCAGGACTTAATAGTCACTAGATCTTCACTTATGATAGATTGTAATGTCTGCATGTTAGAATTATTCCAGGTTACACTGGTGTCATCAGCAAATAAAGTAATTCTACCACTTATTCTTAAGTCTGCGATGTCGTTGATGAATAATAAAAACAAAATTGGACCTAATACTGATCCTTGAGGTACTTCACTGCTTATTGCTAGATTTGTAGAATCCTCACCATTCGCCAGAACCTGTTGATTTCTATTTTCTAGGTAAGTTTTAAACCATTGTAAAGGAGAACCCCGTATGCCATAAATTTGTAACTTATTAATTAAAATATCATGATTTACACAATCGAAGGCCTTTGCGAAGTCACAAAATACTGAAGCGGTGAAAAGTTTATCATTAAGTGATGTGTATATTTCATTAAGAACGGAAAACATTGCGTCGCTAGTGCATTTTTTAGGTAGAAAGCCATACTGATGAGCTGTGAGGATGTTATGCTTGAAAAGAAAGGGCAAAAGACGGTTTTTCATTAGCCGTTCTACTATCTTCGATAAGGTAGGCAATAACGCGATAGGTCTATAGTTACAGGTTTTGGTTTTGTCGCCACCTTTATGAAGTGGGATTATTATAGCTGTTTTTAGACAGTTAGGAAAGAGACCAATTTCAAAGGATTCATTAATCAGTGAAGTTAAAATGTTGATTACTACATCCGGTATATTTAGAAATATTTTGGTGGACAGGCCATTAATTCCACAGGAAAATTTATTTTGGATGTTGTTTATGGTTTGCACTAGTTCATGCTTGTCTACTGGTCTTAGGAAGAAACTTTCAGTGATCCTTTTAGTAGGTAGGAGGAAGGAGGCCTAAGTACTATAGAGGCCAACTCACCGTCCCCCTTCTTACAGATAGTCATATAAATTATTGAACTCAAAAATAAAAGCATACATTATACAAATTCAAGCAAATCTCGTACGAAACCAGGTGAATAACAAGTTAAAGTCCATATTTATAAACAGAACTCAGCTGAGTCGGACTTGGGTAAGTCGTCCATGAACTAAAATCGAAGTTCGGTTAGAGATGGGTAGTGACAAATCCGTAAATATACTTAACAATTACAGATTTGCCAATATCCACTTCTAAATTCCAGTGTAACATCAGAACTTTAGAGACGTTGTAATGAAACTTCGATTTTAGTTCAAGGACGACTCACCCAAGTCCAATTCAGCTGACTTTTGTTTATAAGGTCCATATTTATAAACAAAACTTCCCTGAGTTGGACTTGGGTAAGTCGTCCTTGAACTAAAATCTAAGTTAGGTTATAACGTCTCTAAAGTTCTAGATGGGGTTATGTTGCAGTTGAAGGGTCTGGAAATGGGCCAGTGCACACCATTCCTGTTCTGGCTAGTTCTGCCAGTCGGAATCGTTACGGAGTTGCCAGGTTATATTTAATTATTTGGAACCAGGGAATAAGCAGATTGAAATAACTATTTTACTTTTAATCATCTATTTACCAATTTTTACATCGATTAAAAAACCCATAAAAATAAAAAAATGTTCTGAAGATTTTCAAGTAATACGATCGTTTTTTAATGTGAATAATACCTTTCAATAGTGATAATTACAAAATGTAAATCTAAAATCTATCAAAACTGTCTTATAAAACAAAACAGAACTGTTATTTCAAAATATAATATAAATATTTATATTTATTTATCATATATTTTAATGTACAGAGATTACAATTTGGTTGAAAAATAAACTATAAAATAAAACAAGCTGAAATGAAAGTGGAGATTTGGCAACGTGGCTTGTGCAAATTCAAATTCTAGACGTCAGTGCAGAGTGGTGTGAACGCGCGCATTTCTAGACCCGTCAACTACAACATAACCGATTTGTTATTACCGATCTCTAAATTCACGCAATATAACCGAATTTAGATTTTCGTTCAAGGACGACTTACCCAAGTCCGACTCAGCTGTTTTGTTTATAAATATGGACCTGCGTGATTATTTTTGAACTGAATAGCGAGTAACCGATATTTCTGTTAGTATGAGACCATACCAATAACGATATTAGAAAAAAGAAGAATCGACTGACAAATGATAGACGTCAGTGTCATTAATCAAATTCTCTTACCTAACCTCAATGTTTGTTGTGATGATGTGTTCGTAGATCCTTTTAAGTTAGCTCAATGAAAAACAGCCGGTTCTTACGCAAAAATATTATTATTTACACAAGTAATGAGACAGAATATACCTGAAAATGTCTTTTATACAAGATACGATCATCATTCTTGCTTCCCAAGTAAGTGTATAAACCACACATTTAAAAACACTGTGATAACTTTTAATGTAATTCGCATTTTCAGTTAACTTTCTTTGTTGGAGCATGGATATTTTTTATGAAACAGTTATTTAAAAACTATGAAGTACGACACATTATGGTTCAGCTCATATTTTCCATAACTCTTACACTCTCGTGCACAATGTTTGAATTAATTATATTCGAAATACTAGGATTTCTGGATTCTACGTAAGTCACTGTTGTCTAATGTATTTAAATATTGTTATCCATGGTTTTTTCTTTTAGTTCACGATATTTTTATTGGTATGTAATGTTATATTTGATGCTTTTTGTTGTAATTGTACTAAATCCATTCTATATTGGGTATTACTGCATCAGTAATGTACATTATGGTAAGTTAAACAAATATCTACAAATTAAATACAAAAAATTGTATATTTACTTTGAAAATGTATGTACTAGCATTATAAAAGATTACATACACCCTTTATTATTGAATACTTATATGTTTTATTCTGATAATATAAAAAGTGAAAATAATACAAATAGTACATGGTAAACAATCTTAACTACAATGAAACATTAAACTTTTTCATACAACATTAGGTATATTATTTAGTTTGTCCATTTCTACACAATATTTCATTAAAAAATTTAAAAATGGTGAGATAAAACTTTTACTCAAAATTGTTCATAAAATATTAAAATATTTGTAGTTCCATACAGTTTAATCCCTTTCCATTTTTATTTTAGTTAAACCAGATTATGTAAAACGTCTAACAGTACTTGTTTGGATAATATTTCTTATAATATTTTGGAAAATTGGAGATCCATTTCCAATAATGAATCCCAAACAGGGCGTTCTTTCCATGGAACAATTGGTATCCAGAATTGGAGTGATTGGAGTCACTGTTATGGCATTATTATCCGGATTTGGAGCTGTTAATTACCCTTATACTTCTATGGCATATTTTATAAGGTAAAGAAATTATTTAAAAAAAAAAACCATCATACTAAAAATTTGTTTTTAGAGAAGTTTCTGAAACTGATGTTCTGAATGTGGACAAGAGGTTGATGCAGACTATGGATATGATTGTAATAAGGAAGAAAAGGTTAGCAATTGCTAAAAAACAGTCAAAGGAAAAAGTTAATGACACTTCAAAAAGGAAAGGGCTTTGGTCCATTTTATCATCTGTTGGAGTAAACAAAAGTGAAGAAAGTATGCCAATAAAACTAATAATTTAGTATTATAAACTAGTGATGAAAAAGTCCACAGATATGGACTTGTTTATTGATTGATTATATAATTTAAATTTTTAGATATTGTTCAACTACGATTGGAAATAGAAGGATTAGAGGCTTTAAGTAGAACCCTATTTCTAGAAGTCCATGAAAATAGAAATATGTTAGAAAGAATAGAGTGGTCAAAAACATGGAAAGGAATATATTTTAATTTCCTTGGTTACATTTTTTCTGGATACTGTTTATGGAAAATATTTATAGTAAGTTTTAAATATAATGATTTAAACAAAAATTAAATTTCATTTATTTTTAGTGTACAATAAATATTGTATTTGATAGAGTAGGTAAAAAAGATCCAGTAACCAGAGGCATAGAAATAGCAGTACATTGGATGGGTTGGAATTTTGATATAAATTTTTGGTCACAGCAAGTGTCTTTTTATCTGATTGGTTGCATTGTTGTTACTTCTATTAGAGGATTTATTATTACATTAACAAAGGTTTGTATAATAAAAAATTACACTTTTAAAACAAGACATTTTAGTCATATTATTAAAGCATCTTAACTGAAAAAAAATTTATTTTTTTTTTTTTTTCAGTTCTTCAACCGGATGTCGTCCAGTAAAAGTTCGAACGTAATTGTGTTAGTTCTGGCTCAAATAATGGGAATGTATTTTGTATCGTCTGTACTGCTTTTAAGGATGAACATGCCTGTTCAGTATCGAACTATCATTACCCAAGTGTTAGGTGCCTTACAATTTAATTTTTACCATCGCTGGTTTGACGTCATCTTTCTAGTGAGCGCTCTTGGAAGTATCATTACCCTATATGTAGCCCATAAAGAGCCTATTAGAGATAATGTTTAAATATCCCAGTATGCAATAATTTAATAAATAATTATAAACACAATTTTAATGGTTTAAATTTACTAATATTCGTATTTGCAAAGCATTTTTAAATAGTTATCTACATGATTATAATAATGTATGTCATTGCGTCAAAGTTTGGAGAAATTTTTAGAGGTTACCAGCCAAGGGATTTTGTTCAATGGGGGTTGTATATTGCAATTGCATTTATGACATCTCTGTCAGGATCTTTCACACATTCTTAGCATTAAATTACCCTCTATTATTTCGGTATTAACTATAGTCACATACTTTGATTACTATACGGGGCAAGAGAGAGGTCCAACACGCCCAACATAGGGCGCGGCCATTTTGATTCCTATGCCACAGTTTATAGCTAAAGAATCAGATCGCTCACTCTGCGTCGGCACTTTTGATCTCAATAGCTAAGTTCGGTTTGGAACTCGGCGAATCGGACAGAGCGCGCACGGAGTGCGTGACGTCATAGACAGAGTTCACCACAAAGCATGTATCTTCAGGGGGTCGATTCTCGACTTGTAGGAGTATTTTCCTATAGGAATTTTTGACATTTTTATGTACATCGAAAATTTATGACATTTTCCTACATATAGGAAAGTGTCACAAATTCCTATAGGAAAAGGTTCCTACAAGTCGAGAATCGACCCCCTGGAGACCCCACGCCAATGTTAAACTTTTAAACCAAATTAGCGCCACCTTGTGTTTGGAGCTGGAACTAAAATGACAATTGACAGATGGCGGTAAATTCAAATTGTAATTTTTAGGAGTAGGTAGTAGTTTTAAATTAAATTTTAAATGATTTCCACATAAATTATTTTATAAAATAAAGTATGGAACTAGTAAGTTCGAAACTTTTATTTTACAAAATAATTTAGGTCGATTATACTAAATTTGAAGAATTAATTTGTTATAAGGGGTCTAATGTGGAGAGTTGGTTCTGCATATTTTTATTAAATAAATATAAGATATATCAATAAATAATAAAATAGAACATTCTTAAAATATGTTTATTAATAACTTAAATAAATATTATTAGATAAAAATAAATACAAATAATACATATTTAACAAATACTTACTTGGAGCAAATAGATATATAATCTCAATCTTTAAAATACCTATCAATAATTTAAATGTGAAGTAGAGACTAGGATATTACATTTTATTAACACTAAAGTTATATATTTTATAAATGTCTTTTAACTGAGGACAAATGTAATATAGGTATTGTATTAAAACGTGAATCCTTTTAACTATTCATTCAATGATAAATAGGTATTTTCCTTCCAAATACAGATGGTGGTATTACTCTCTTATGTGAAAAATGATTTCGGAATCTAGTCCAGTGATAAATTGATTATCAATTAGTTGTTGTACCCGTTTGTCTTTTTATGATGCATGGTGAATCAATAAAGTTTTTCTCGAAGTTTTCAACGTAGCACCAAAATTATTGCAAAACACAGTAGGAAATAAAAAAGCGAAACATCACAATTTTGCAAATAACTAAGACGAAACTATAAACAGAAACCAAAAGCCAAAGCCAACAAAAAATCACTAAAATCAGACGGAAAAATGAAACTAACCAAGAACATAAATATAAATACACGTCACATCTTTGGAGTCTTTGGTTAAGTTTTTCTCCCATAAGACTTAAAAATGGAGTAAGAAATCATAATTTCACCAGTGGCCCCATCTAGAGTTTGGAGCAAATAGCATAAAAAATGTCAGTTGTCGGTTTTGACCTTGGTCATTCACGTGGAACCTCTATGTGCTTTGTGGAGTTCACTCTTTTTAAGGGGCGTTTGATTTGAAACTCGATCGAGCGAACGTCGAGGAGACCGAGAAGTGATGACGTCACAATAGAGCATTGAGTCAAATAAAACAGTAAAAAACATAACCTCGCTTTTTTGTGATTCGGGTTTCTCAAAATAGTGAGCAGAAAGCAAAGAAAATAGAAAAACTTTTAATAGTAAAGGGTAATGGTCTGAAATGCAGCATATACCACAAATGCCCGCTTCGCTTTTATACTCCATGACTGTGATTACTGGTGATTAGATTTGGACAGAAAAAATGTATTTTCCAAACAGACATTCTGTTTTTTTTATGACGAATAATTTTATATATAAGACAAAAGCAGCTAAGTATTTTATTGACTTCTTGTCGGGTCTTTAATTTTGAGGTTCAATTTTGTTTGTAGGTTAATTAAAAAAAGATAGGTAGAGATAAAGACAAATTTCTCCCTCTTCTCGATCCTTCTGGGGACCTATTTTCAAACTGTGTGAGTACTCATTTCTCTCAAGATTCTCATAAGAAATGTCATACGTCAATGTGGAAATGTTGTTTTTAAAGGCATCGAGGATTAAAATTCTTAGGAAGATTTTAAATCTCTCTAAATAAACCGAGAGAAACAGTCAGTGAGTTCACACTGGCCCTAAGAGCCCTAAAAATACGGTTTTACGTTGACGTATGACATTTCTCTTGAGAGAAATGAATTCTCTCGAGTTTGAAAATAGCCCCCCTGCTCTGAGAACATCGACCTCGCTCTATGTTCTCGCTCCAAAGCAAAACAAACACTTTAGGGATCTCTCGGAGTGTCAATTCAAACACGTTTGTAACGCTCGGAGATCTCCGATGATCAAATCAAACGCACCATTAGAATCTCAAGGGGAATGACATATGAATCTAGTGATAGTTTGCACTTGAATACACTTTTGTGTGTCTATGGCACATACTTTGATTTTCTTTTACTATACGGCACATACTTTGATTTTCTTTTACTATACGGCACATACTTTGATTTTCTTTTACTATACGGAGAATGGTCGCACTGCGCAGCTTTCTGAGTGCCTTTTAAAAGGAGATAGAAAACTCCGCCATTTTGAACCCTTATTACGTGTTGCCTACATCTTGGCGCAATATTTTTAATAGGTGCGTTTTAATCATCCGCTTCTGCTTCGGAATTGTCGGTTTTCTTGTTTTAATCTGACAGGTTAAAACGACTAAACCGACAATTCCGGAAGCAGAAGCGGATGATTAAAACGCACCTGATATTTTGCTTGCTGCTGTCAGTGTCAGTAAATATTATTTTTGAAGTTACAGTTTATTGCTAAAGAATCAGTTAGCTCACTCGGACCAGTTGAAAGTTCCAAAATAACATCCACTCCAGGGATACAAATTCAGGATACGCAGAAGACTGCCGTTTTATTATAGGCGGTTGTCATATATTGTATTATCCGAGTTTGCACAGTGTATAAACTGAAACATTGAGATCAAAAGTGCCGACGCAGAGTGAGCGATCTGATTCTTTAGCTGTAAACTGTGTCACAGGGTTCAAAATGGCCGCGCCCTATGTTGGGCGTGTCGGATCTCTCTCTTGCCTCGTATAGTCATTGCGTTCGGTCTGCCACGTTCTTTTAACTCCTTTAACACTTTTTACTCCAAACGACCCTTTTAGCGTTCGGTTTAGTCCGATTAATGACAGTTTAACACGCTTAAATGTCATTTAAAAGCACCCTAAAAAACTCCGCTTTTGTCCCGCTCCATCCCTTGACTATCCGAACTCGCCTAGTAATCAAAGTATGTGTTTAAAAGGCACTCAAAAAGCTGCGCAGTGCGACCATTCTCCGTATAGTAAAAGAAAATCAAAGTATGTGACTATAGTAAAATTCGAATAAAATAGGTTGTTTCCTCAAATCACTAACGAATTATATAATCGTTAATATTTTTCTGGGAAATATTTAAGAAATCGATAGAAAAATATGTAAATATTGTCAGATTATCAAGATTCGAATAATTAAATAAATATTCATGAAATATCGCCCAATCAGTTGGACATTCATTATAATTAGTCTAGGAAATAGCGCTTACGATAAAAAAAAAGTCATGTTAACCGTCTGATTCGTGGTATTTGAGCTCTATATAGTAAATTTGAAGATTTTTCTTCTAAAATATATATGTGTGATGGGTCGGCTGTTTTTCGGAGCTAGAGAAGGGGGGGAAATAAAAAAAAATTCATGTTAACCCTCTGGAGTTATTGGTAATCAGTGTTGCCAGTCTAGTACAATTGTACTAGATCTAGTACATTATTTAGGAATCTGATGGTACTCTAGTACACTCGAAGCAAAATCTAGTACTTTTACTTTTTTCAACCCGTTTCCATTTGACGGGTAAAATAATATACAGGGTTGGGATAAATTATGGAATCAAGTAAATATCTTTAAAACGAAAAGGACGATATTTATGAAACTTTGCAGGCAATTACAATGACGCATAACGCATCTGATACAACAAATACAATTTTATGAATGACTACTTGGGAATGTGAACTAGGCAAATAAAAATACTTATTATATTCTTAATTATTTATTAAAAACGCATTACTTAACAAATATGAACGAAATACTTTTACTCATTTGGTATCTACTTTCCAGCAACAAATTTAGACAGCCCTTCCAGAAGTCCAATGTATGCACTGTGTTCATAGGATGTACTAAAGTTTGATAATTTTTCTACAAATTCATTCGAGATTCCTTTTTCTTCCAAGTAATTCAATAGAAGATCATATAAATACTAAAAGAAAAATTAATTAAATATTAATTGACTATAAAAAAGAGACTTATTACCCTTACCGAATCCAAAACTTCTCCAGACACTGAATATACATTTTCATTCCACTCTCCATCATAAATACTAATTTCATCGATGCCAAATACATCATCTAAAATAAAATAATCAAATTACAACAATCCCAAAGTATAATATCAACAACAAAACACTAAAGTTACAACCCAAAGAGAACTTAGTGTGATAATAACATCAAAACTAAAATAGGGAATCCATATAGCCTCTATAATTGGTGAGAAGAGCATAAATCATTCTAAAGAAATGGTTTTAAAATCCTACAAACATATATAAAGCCAAATTTGGAGTTTTTTCAAACTATATGGGATTATTATTTTTCTAAGGACATTGAGATGGTAGAAAGGGTTCAAAGAAGAATCACTAAAATCCCTTAAGACTATAAAACATTGACTACACTTAACTACTCCAAGAGAAAGATGTTCCAGTGGAAACTTAAGTGAAACTTTTAAGTGATAGTGGATATTATTCATGTGAAAACATTTTTAAACCAAGCACATCCAGACATCTGCAAGGCTTCAGAAAGAATAGTGCAGCAGATTGCAAAGGAAAAAAAAACATTTTAACAAATATGATGTATACATGGAATGAATTACAGGAAATCTCTGTAACAGCTGCTAATATTAAACAATTCAAGGAAAGAATTGATAAGGAACTAAGTGAAGTAATGATAGATTGTTATAAGTATTGCAAAATGAACTTAAATGTACATAGAATTGTGTAAATTAACTTACTATATCCTTCTTCTTGTTCATTAGTTCCAACAAATGAACACAGCAGACTTATTGTAGTTTGTCCTCTTAATAATTCTATTTTAAATGATGGTTTGGACTTTAATTCACCAAGCTCTGGTTTATCCATATTTTCGCCCACTTCAGGTTCAACATCACTGTCCACACTGTGATTGACATTAAAAATTATCTTGATTCTGAAAAAGTTAGTAATTTATAACAAGATAAAGAAAAAAATGGACTCTTCAGCTGTCAATGTGATGAATGTAAATATCCTGGAAATTGAATAACTTTATTTAAATAAACTACTTTTTTTGCCATGATTGGCTCCAAAATATCAAAAATATGGCAAACTTAAAGCCAAAACATAGAAGAAATATTGCCATCGCACATTTATTAACTAAATGAAATATTTTCCTTGACAAGATAGGATTGGAAGGGTTATTATTAACATCGAGAATATTCCCTTGCTGCATTAGCGACAGAATGGAGCACAAAGGCACAACAGATATTTTAAGTTGCAGTAATACCCTATACATAACATAAATGAAATAGTGACTCACGTTTCATCACCAACTACTTTAGATAATGTAACTTCAGCTCCATTTAGATTTGCTTTGAAACCACTTATTTCTGCAGGAATAGTTTTAACTTTTTGGGCCTTTCTTTCAGCCAAAATTTCTTCTGTTAGAAATTCCACAAGCTCCTTTTCAGCTAAAATAAGAAGGTATAAAATGTGTTTTAAATGATTGTATTATGTAATACCTTTAGTATGGGCACCTCTTTTGCTACCACAGCCGCAACTGCATAACTGACTGTGTTCTACTTCTTTAATGAAATCATTTTGGGTGTTGCTCATATACCAAATATTTCTCGCAAATTGTCTTTGCTGGTTTGTTGAAGAAAGTGCTCCGTTTCTAATTGGATTTAACAACGATCTCAGTCCATTCAATCTTAATGTAATTTTTAGTATATTGTTCATTTTTAAATAGGAATGTAGCCGGCAAAAGTGGAACTTTTCTTATATCTTAAAAAATATCAAATCAAAACGTGCTTTCTTGACTTGACAAGGCTACTTATGCGCCATCTGTGCTGCTTGCGGCATAACGTGACTCGTGACATAATTTATGTCAGTCATTTGTCACTTTTTAGAACGTGTTCAGAAATCATAGAAATGAAAGTTATGCAATACTTATTACAGCTTATTCGACTATACCCACAGAGTCGGCTCCGGCCTAATATTCCAACTATAATATATTTTATCAAAAAATTCTAATAATAAGAAAAATGACAAATTAACTAGGATATATGAAAAAATGTTCTCTTAAAAGAATAGTTTTATTTTAAATCACAAATAAAACAAAGTTTTCTATGAATTATTAAAAAAAATGGACTGTTATATAGATCATTCCCCATTTCGAAATCTAATAACTTATTCAATTTTGTCAACATATGTCTCTTTCTCTTGTTCATTTCATTTGAATCTTTAACCGTTATCATTATAAAATTTATTTACAGATTCACAAATATTACCAAAAATAAAACATAAACAACACTAGTACATTTATTTTACAATTTTCTTAAAAACATTTATTTTTATTGTTTTCGGTAAATTTCGCTCTATACTTTTCTGGAGTCAAAGTTATTCCTGGTATTGGAATGCCTGTTGGTTTATTTGCTCCTGGATACTCAGTTATTTTATAATTTCTAATAATTTCGGCAAAAAATGTGAATATACAACTTTTTGCTAAAGCATCTCCTAAACATCTTCGTTTGCCTAAAAAATAGTTACAAAATTGGAATCTCTGTTTAACTAATAATAGATATAACGTGAATGAATGATCAAAAGTGATCTCCGTGAGAAGAAAAACGCTCAGACCCCTCAATTTTTATTTTCGTCTGTAGGTATACAGAAGGAAAGTATAAGAATAATTTTTTTCGACCTTGAGTTTTTGATAGATTTATACGTTTTGAGGTCCCCTGAATCATATTTGCGTAACTTTTTTATCGTGCGTAAAATGATATATTACTTTACAACACACATTACGTACTATACTTTATCTACGACCACTTGAACGGATAAATATACCTGTAAATAGCTATATAATTTATTTTGAGCTATTTACTGAACCTGTAGGTGGTGTTTTGTCTGCTTTCCATGGTAAAATTATAAAAAATTTCTTCACAAATCGCAGCTATTAACAGATACCTATTTAAATTATTTGTATTTTTAGTTTTTTCACTCAGAAAAACTTTTCGTGAGTATAAATATATATAAAACCTAAATGACGTATGTTATTTAACTAAAAGAATTTGTAAAAATATATAGGATGATAATAATAATTTAACTACTATTTGAACTACTGTTTAAAGTACTATTTGAACAACTATTAAAACTATTATTAACTACTATCTCAACTACTATTGGAACTAATGTTTAAACTACAATTTGAACTGCTATTTAAACTAGTATTTTTTATGTTTGTTCAGCGATAATTCTTTAAGATGGTGTCCGATTTCAATGATTCTTTTTTTGTTAGAAAGGGGGTACCTCAGGGGTGGTCCTATATAAATTTGTTTAAGATGTGGTGATGGCATCTGCACGTTTTTTTAAATTTTTAATTTCTAATACTTGTTTGAACTATTATTTGAACTACTATTTGAATTACTATTTGAAAAATTAATTGAATTACTATTTGAATGCACTAAAATACAAAAATCGGTAAAACATTATGCCCAGAACTTCCCTCGATATAGAAATTGTAAAAACAGAGAATTCCTAAGCACTTTACATTTTACGGACCTGACGAAGAGAACCGCGTGGACGCGAACGAGAGTTTGGGTCGGATCAAGAGGAAAATTGAGAAAACTCGTTATTGAACGATAATGATTGGCTTTCAAAATGGTCCATTGACACAAACCAAAAGGACGCTTTTTATTATTTAAATTCAAGGGGGACCTTTTTTGATTAAATACGATTCCTTTCCTGTAATTATATTATAAATATCGCTACACTGGTTAAAAATTAAGCGTTATATTACTTACCTAAACCAAAGGGAATAAACCTATCATGGTACATTAAATTACCATTAGAATCTAAAAATCTCTCTGGTCTAAATACCTCTGGATCTTTCCAGTATTTTTTATCATGGTGTACTGAATATAAACTTATTAATACTGTTGTATTCTAAAAAGAAACATTATTAGTAATCTAAGATATTATACAACAAAATTTCGTTATTATACTTTTGGAATTGAATAATTTTCTAATACGGTATCTTTTAATACTCTTCGTGGGCCACAAATTGGAGTAACATGGCAATATCTTTGTATTTCGCATAATACTGCTTCTACATATGGAACCCTAAAATTAACTGTATAAGCTATAAAAAAAGAAATCTGGTAAATATTCTTACTTCTTCCTCTCCGAATAATTTATTGGTTCAGTTCTCTCAAAAGCATTTTCAAGACACATTCGAACCTTGTCTTGTACGTCAGGATACAAAATCATCATGAGGAAAGCAAAATCTAAGGTATTACTTGTGGTTTGTGATCCTGCTATGAATATATCTAGGCAGATCATTATCAGTTGATCCTCTGAAAAGAAACATCAATTTTTTTCAAAATTTTATTTTGTATTTAGAAATACCGTAATAGTATATTATGTAACAGGAGTTGTAAGTAGCCCGTTACTGGAGATTTTATTCATAAATGGTTCCTAAATTATTCTCAAATGGTTCCTAATTGATTCTGAAATGTTCCCAAATGATTCATAAATGGTTTCTAAATGATTCATAAATGGTTTCTAAATGATTCATAAATGATTCTTAAATTATTTACAAATTATTCATAAATGATGCCTAAATGGTTCCTAAATGATTCATAAATTAAAACATGGTGTTTACTTATTTAACTCTTATTATTTCTAGTTTCTAAAACTATCATTTACCTACCTACCTGTAAAGGTTGTCTCTTTACCATTAGCATTTTTTATTTGCGATATAAATGCGTAAATAAGATCATCGTCGCTACCTTGTTGCCATGTTGAATAATGTTGTTCAATAGTTTCTAATAACAATTCTTTCAATTTTGCGTTGAGTCTTTTTATTAAATTAAATCCCGATTCTTCTGGTGCAATAAATCTCACCCAAGGAAATTGGTTGAGTGTTCCGCCGGCCATGTCAAATGCTTTAGATCTTTCGTCCAGAAATTCTAATAATCTGCAAAAACCAATTTTTAAACAAGAATTTTTTAAAATCTGGACTTGATTTTGATGTAAAATAGTAAATAATTACCTTTTTAAACGTACATCATTTCTATTTAGTCTAGAACCTCCCAAGAGTGCCCATAGTACATTCAAAACTGATACAGCTAAAATACCGCCAATTCTAATTTCTTTGTTTTCATTTTCCTTCAATATCAAAAGTAGATCGTCTACTTCATTACGTATCATGTGTTCCATGGGTTTTTTACCAAAACCCAAATTTCGTAGATGGGTAGATACGAAGTGTCTTTGGATCTTCCATAGTTCTCCATCTGTGATTGTAACTCCTGAAATTAACAATAATTGGAATTTAGGAAAAAACTAGAATGAAGATATAAAGGGTGTCAATTTGAAAACTTTCAATGCGAATATCACTCAAAATAAAGAAGTTGGAGAAACGCCGTTTGGCTCAAATGTTATAGAGTTAGGGGCAACTAGAACCACCATATTTCAGTAAGGGGGTGAGTCACCCCTTAGGCGCGACACATACCAACTTTAAAATATCAAATGGCGCTACCCCTTTTGTTATACCTCAAATGAAAGGTCTCATTTAATAGTATTCACCTGTACAAGAATTTTTTTTCTATTCAATACAGGTTGTAACAAAAACATGAAGTTTTCCAATTTTCTACCCTGTCAATAAAAATAATATTCTAATTAATAACATACCTCTCCTGGTTCCCATGCATCTTAATTTCAAAAAGAAATTATCTGGCCTTCCCTCGTATTCTTCTCCAGTGAGAACCTCTTTTACCGCCTCGTAAGAAAATACAGCAATCACGTTTTCTTTGCCTAGTTTCAGCCCCAGAACATTTGTGTTATAAATTTGCGATAGTTTTAATAACGCTAGATGTTGTCCTCCAAGGGATCTCGATAATTTTTTTAGAATCGGTACTGTACCGACAATTGGATACCAAAAAGGGCCTGGAAAAAATATACCTGTCAGTTGAGATTTAAAGGTATTCATAAAATAGGCATATTTTTAAAAAATATAAAAATTAAGTTTACAATAAAAACTTGCGTATTTTTTCTTTTTATTTTTAAATCTACATTTTCAGCCCTCTATGACCCTTTTAGGGGTGAAAAGTTGAAGTTTGAAATTTTGACGTACAATACCTACTGAAAGTTACATTAGTGTTTGTATTCACAATCTTTATTTTTAATACTTTTACTTTCCTATCTGTATACAGATATAAGGAAAGTATAGGAATCATGATGTTTTTCGACCTCGAGTTTTCGACAGATTTTTACGTTTTGAGGTCCCCTGAATCCGTTTGGACTATTTTCGCGATGATGTCTGTGTGTGTGTGTGTGTGTCTGTGTGTCGCATAACTCATGAACCGATACACAGAAAAACACCAAATTTTAAACTTAAGCTTTGTTCCAGCGTCCAATGAGCTGATTAGATTTTGGGCAGAGTCGGAACATCTGGGGGTACTTTATGGGTCATTTTTATATTTTATGGAATATATCTGTTATTTATGTTTGGGGAAGAAAATTCTTTAAATAAAAGTTACTTCTTATATTATTATCTATAATTTTTGTTTTATACAAAATTTTCCTAAAATGGTCCGTATTCGAGAAATTTGACAAAATGTAAAAAAAAATATTTTTTATAAAAATTGTTCAAACAAAAGTTGTTTGTAATATAATTCTCTATAATTTTTGTCCTATACATAATTTCTCTAAAATTGACCGTATTCGAGATATTTGAGAATATGTGTAAATTTCGAAATTTGAAGAAAACTCAAAAACGGATAAAAAAACGATCATTAAATTTTAAACTTAAGTTTTGTTTCGGCCTGACGTGAAATGATTAGATTTTGAACAAAGTCGGAACATCTAGGGGGGTACTTTATGGGAGGCCGTTTTTATATTTTATGGAATATATCTGTTATTAATGTTTATAGAAAAAAATTGTTCAAATAAAAGTTACTTCTAATATTATTATCTATAATTTTTGTTTTATGTAAAAATTTCCTGAAATGGTCCGTATTCGAGAAATTTGACAAAATGTGCAAAATTCCGATTTTTATGAAAATTGTTGAAATAAAAGTTTTTGCGATATCGTTCTCTATAATTTTTGTTTATACATGATTTTTCTAATGGAAAAATTGTATGAAAAGTGCTAAATTTAAATTTTCCAGTATTTTAATTTTCAATGAATATCTATAGAAAAATGTTTCGAGGTAGATGTATGTGGAAAATGTATATATTTATTTTATCCTCTAAACATTTATGGAGGTGCTGCAATAGGTTGTACAAAATAACCGGAAAAAGCCTGTAATAACTAGATAGGAAAGTCATGTGTTGGACACATCAGATTTTTAAATAACATTATTCAGCCCCTTTTAACCAATGTTTAATCCTTTTGTCTTTAAAAGATAAGGTAAAAATTACTTGAACAACAAATATATTAGACGATTAAAACTAAACAGAACATTTATTTAAAAAATGGTAAAAAGTACCTAAAGAAATTAAAAAGATAAACATAAAAACTTAATAACTTTGTTGGTTATGTCATTAAAAAACATTTTTTGTGGATCACTCTTTATGATTAACCTTGTTTACAATAAACAATAACTCAACCTAACTAATTTTTATTGATGCCATTTTTTAGTAAACGAAAAAAATTTATAAGAAAGTGAATAGAAAATGATTAGTGTAATATGAATTTTCCATCGTTTCCATACAAGAGGCTTTTATAATTTTATACCTACACCTCTGGTTATTTGTATGTAATTTTAACGATTTTATATCGCAATTATGATAATTATTTTGTAGGCAATTATAAAATAAATTATTATTTTAAAATAAATTTTAATGTTTTCATTGTTTTTTCCTACCAAACTAATTCTAATTGGATTATTATCAACTAATTAAACCTAGTATTTTTCAAATCAAATATAAAATATATAAGAAATATTTTAAAATTAATGTTACTTAGTTGTAATTTAAAATCACACATTCAGATATTTTCAAAATTATATTGGTAAAATTTTATAAATATCTTAAAAGATCATAAATATTTAAAAAATTATGTGGTATAATAATGGGGGTATTATATAATTACCAAAAGGAAACAATTACATTTTTTAGAAACAATGGATGGGTACTTTAATTTTACGATATAAACGAAAAATTAGTTTTAATTAGTAATTATTTTTTCTAAATAATTGTGTAATAATATTAAATAATTTTTAAAAAATAGGCAGAATAAATAATAGCCTATATTGGACTGAATTTTCAATTCAAAAAGAATATACATTAACAATTAATATTTAAAAAATCTTACCAGGAGGAAATTTAGCCGGTTTTATAATCAAAGAAATTAGATAACTGATTGTTATTACAATGACCGCCACTATTGATAGTATAAATAACATGTTGCACGCGCGTTTCCGCGAGACAGACCAGACACACTGATGATCTACGTTCCACTGATTATTTAAAATTTAAATAGTTCTAAACTAAAGCGCCCATTGATATTGATAGATGAACAGTACAGTAGCGGACTGAATTGAAACTTTAATAATTTAATGAGCTAATGACAATGACTAATGAGCTTTAAGTGCTTTAATAATAAATTACTTTTAGAATAGGTACCTATATCTCAGGGACGGCTCTTGGCAGGGCCGCCGAAAGCCCGCCGGGTCAATTTTTTCTAAAAAAAAAAAAAAAAAAAAAAAACGTCGTCACCTAAAACTGCCGGGCCCCCTACTTGAGCCCGGGTACAGGAAATTTGTCCCGGATGCCCCCCCTCCCCCTTCTCGTCGGCCCTGGCTCTTTGGGTAGTAAATATGAAACAATTATTATATAATAAAAAACTTTATTGCAAACACAATATTCATGAACCATTTATTTGTTGTTATTGATTTATTTCATAGTTATAAATTATCAAGTAAAAGGAATATATTATTACAGTAGGCGAGTATGCAAATCATAAATATATGTTGACAAATAATGTAAGGTTAAGGCTAAAATTATTTAACAGGAAAAATTATAATGTCAAACACGTTTAGATCAATCGGAACATTTTATTTTTAAGTTTGTTTCACTATTTTTTTTGTACCGATTCCCTTATTATTTCAAAAGAACTTAAAAATACTTTCCTATTCACTAACTTACTTCTTTTAATATTTTAACGGATTCCTCTAAATTATTTCTTTAAAAATTATCATTTTTAAAAGTTTGTCAAATTCAACATTTATCTTTTGATAGAAAGTAAAATGGCGTGAATTACTGGAAAATTAACAAAAGAATGAAATAGGAAACAAAGTTATTACCTACAGTTAATATTTCAGGACAAATCAACTTTATAAAATGTTTTTATAAATTTTTTTTTTTGATTGACCAGAAACATCGAAAATTATTTAGATATTTTATTACCTAGTTTTATTTTTAATAGGATAAACAATATTTTAAGGTCAAATGTGTATACATTTTAATTAAAACTAGTCATAAAGCTAATGTAAATTTACATAAATTTGTTATTTCGCATAAACCGTACAGTGGCGCATCCCGAATTTAAGTCTGGAGGGTAGTGGTGATATTTAAGACTTTATTTTTGATATTAGTTCGTTATAGTACCTATAAAAGGTTAGGTTTTTAAAATTATTGGAGGAAAATTACCCTTATTATCCCCCCACCCATATATACGCTCCTGAAACCGTACCTAAGGGTGACATATGCCTTTTGTTATAGTCTATTGTTATGTATGAGAGAGTAATAAAACAGCATTTCTAATGCAAAACTTAGTACGGTCATTTTAAATATTTTTACAGAATAATCTAAATATTTCCTAAAATTGTAATAAATGTACCTGAGCTATTACAAGTTTTGGGTCTTTTATTGGTCCTTTATAAACATAAGCTGTACAGAACAATAGAAAAAGGTTTGAACAGGCCAAAAGCCCTGTGTATTAAAGATTAAATAGCCGTATCTTAAGATCATTTTCATTAAGTACCTATTTGCAAATTTTGTTTTATTTTAATTCTAAGAATTTGTTACAGTAATCGAATTATAAGTACAAATTTCACCGAAAATGCGATTATCGGTTTTCCATTTAATAAGGAGGTCAAAGTTGTGTATTCTTGACAGTTTACTAAATGTCGTTTAGTTGCAACTTGCAAGGTGCAGTGTGAATTCTAGTGTGATCATGAAAAATTTGGAAGGGCCGCGTGAACGAAAAAAAATCGGTCCTTTAACAGTTAATGAAAAAACATTAATATTTAATTGTTTTAAATCATTTACAGACAAACATTTATGTAAAAGTGTTAATGACACAGTGGAATTAGTTAGTAGTACGCTTGGTGTTGGGAAATCTATGATTTACAGAGTTGTTAAAGAAGAGAAATGTGGCGAGTTTCCAACAGCACGTAAAGCTCCAGGAAAACCAAAATTTCAATTAGAAAATCTTTTGAAAGAAAGACTTCGAAGGAAAGTGCATGCGTTCTTCTTTAGAAAAGAATTTCCGACAGTAGACAAAGTTCTTGCCACGGTTCGAGATGATAAGGATTACCCTGAAATGAGTCGAAGCACACTATGGAAACTTTTAAAAGAAATAGGTTTTCTATGGAAAAAGCATTCCAGAAAGTCTATTTTAATAGAAAGAAGCGATATTGTAGTATGGAGAAGAAATTACCTAAGGACTATAAAAGAAATGAGAAACCAAAGAAGAAATATATTTTATTTAGATGAAACATGGATCAATAAGGGACATAAACTAAATAAATTTTGGCAAGATGAAACTGTTACAAGTCGAAGATAGGCTCTTTTAAATAATTTATCTACTGGTTTAAATCCACCATCAGGAAAGGGGCACAGACTAATAATAGTACACATCGGTAGTTCAAACGGTTTTGTTAAAGGTGGTGTATTGACTTTTGAATCTACTCGTACCGGTGACTACCATGAGGACATGAATGCTGATGTCTTTAAAGAGTGGTTCGAACAAATTATAGATCTTCTTCCTCAGAAATGTATAATAGTAATTGATAATGCAAGTTATCACTCGAGACTTATAGAAAAAATGCCCACAACCAAGTGGTTAAAAAAAGATTTACAGAATTGGCTAAATTCAAAGAATATTAAGTTCCATCCCGGTTCTGTGAGAAAAGAACTTTATCATTTGTGTTCCCTTCATAAAAAGAAATTCAAAAAAATATGAAATTGATGAAATTGCAAAAAATCGTGGGATGACGGCGGTTAGATCACCACCATATCATTGCGAAGTAAACCCGATTGAACTGATATGGGCACAGATAAAGGGAGAAGTTTCAAGAAAAAATAATTCTTTTAAAATGAGTGATGTTAAACAGTTGTTTTTGGAGGCTGTAAATAATGTTAAGCCTGGAAACTGGGAAAAGGCAGTAAATCATACGATTAAAGAGGAAGAGAAAATGTGGAAGTTGGACAATAGTACTGATGAAATGATCGGGCCACTCATTGTAAATATTGGTTGCGACAGTTCATCTTCTGATTTGGATTTGTAGATAAGAAGTAGTTTTTATATTAAAAGTATTATTTATGAACGTAACGTTGTTTAAAAGTCAAAGTTTAAACCCTTATACCTACATAACCCGTTTGACACAATGTTCTTAACATACCTTGTGGAAAAATAAAACATTTTAGAAAAAAATTGCACTTTTTTACCTTCAGCTGTTTAGAAGTTATAGGCAGGTTAATTAGGTGAGAATATAAGTGTATACTCGAGGAATAACTTCAAAAAATATTTTAACTGTCTACTAAAAGAAGTGATACGCCTAAGGATTACGAATGCTTTATTATTTTAATACTCTCTCATACATAAAAATAGACTATAGTATATATCTTTGGTTAATACGACAATTAACCACTATAACTTCTTCTCCCTTTCTCACATCTTTGGTAAAATGTCTTAAAGAATGCAACGCCACCTATTACTCAAATTTTGTCCGAAAATGGACTTGGCGAATTTTGAAACTGCATTCCTTAATCAATATAATTTAATGCCTGACGCACGATGTTGCATTTGTGACGAATTTACAATAATATAACTGTAAACAAGCCGTTAAATTTAGTAATCAAATTGATACGAAAAGATAAATATTCAAACGACTTATAATCTTTTCTGAGAATTATACAAATGACAAATACGTTTTAACCTAAGAAAAACGTATATGGGCCATTTACATCAAAACGGGGTTGGACAAAATTGCCGGAACACCAAAAATGCTCGCACAAATTTTGAAAAACACTTTTATTTATATTTTGTGATGAAGAATGAAGAAAATATATGCAAAATTCGCATGCAACGGTTCACCCATACAAAACTTGATCGGAAAACTTACTGTTTACTGTATGAAAACGAGGACACACAAGATTTTCGCGGATCCCTTCTCGTATAATCTATTCCATCAAAAACTAAATTAAAAACGTGAAATAAAAAGCTTACCAAAAAAACGTTTATTAAATTTTTATACAGGGTGGCGCATCGAAAACGAAACAGAGACATTTACTGGCAGCTCAGTTGTTTTCGAGGGGGGCACAAAATTGGCAAAAAAAAACATGTTAATACGTGCAGTCCCCTAGGCGGGAGTAACACCATCCCTAAAATCTTATCATTATCATCATTTCAAAGTTCTTTCAATTCCCTTTATAATGATATAATATTCATGTACTTCTCAGTAAATGTCTTTATTTCGTTTTCGATGCGCCACCCTGTATAGGTATGAATACATCCCACAAACTATATAAAATGTAAAATTAAATTGAGTTTCAGTCTTGTCTTGGAATCAGTCTAACTCTAAACGGTTTCGGTGCCATTGTCACTCCATCGTAACCTTCTAATTTTAATTCGGAGTCATCAGCTCTTTCGATATTGAAATTGTGTAAAATGGAGGTGAAGAATAGGAATATGTTGGCTTTTCCCAGCGATTCTCCAAGACATCGCCGTTTTCCTAAAAAAGATATACGTAGTTAAATAACAGAACACTGTATAATGTGTTCTGAAACGATAAATAAAAAAATTAAGGGTTGATTCTACTCGAAAAAATAATACTTATGTTCATATAGGTTTTTTTTTAAACTCAAAAATAATGAAATTACAAGGTGTCAAAAAAAATATGTTTGTAGTTTGTCGATTTTAATACAATTGATTTGCGAAAAATATACAAAAGTATTTACGAAAAATGCAATGTAAAAATGCAACATTAATAATAATAATAATAATAATTAATAATCCTCACTTTATATTTGTTTAAAATAATAATAATAATAATAATGACAAAACCTGCTATAGTCTTATGTATGAGAGAGTATTAAAATAATAAAGCGTTCATAATCCATAGGCGTACACTTCTTTTAGTAGACAGTTAAAATATTTTTTGAAGTTATTCCTCGAGTATACACTTATATTTTCACCTAATTAACCTGCTTATAACTTCTAAACAGTTGAAGGTTAAAAAGTGCAATTTTTTCTAAAATGTTTTATTTTTCCACAAGGTATGTTAAGAACATTGTGTCAAACGGGTTATGTAGGTATAAGGGTTTAAACTTTGACTTTTAAACAACGTTACGTTCATAAATAATAATTTTAATATAAAAACTACTTCTTACCTACAAATCCAAATCAGAATCGAAATCAGAAGATGAACTGTCGCAACCAATATTTACAATGAGTGGCTCGATCATTTCATCAGTAATATTGTCCAACTTCCACATTTTCTCTTCTTCTTTAATCGTATGATTTACTGCCTTTTCCCAGTTTTCAGGCTTCACATTATTTACAGCCTCCAAAAACAACTGTTAAACATCACTCATTTCAAAAGAATTATTTTTTCTTGAAACTTCTCCCTTTATCTGTGCCCATATCAGTTCAATCGGGTTTACTTCGCAATGATATGGTGGTGATCAAACCACCGTCATCCCACGATTTTTTTGCAATTTCATCAATTTCATATTTTTTGAATTTCTCTTTATGAAGGGAACACAAATGATACAGTTCTTTTCTCACAGAACCGGGATGGAACTTAATATTCTTTGAATTTAGCCAATTCTGTAAATCTTTTTTTAACCACTTGGTTGTGGGCATGTTTTCTATAAGTCTCTAGTGATAACTTGCATTATCCATTACTATTATACAGTTCTGAGGAAGAAGATCTATAATTTGTTCGAACCACACTCTTTAAAGACATCAGCATTCATGTCCTCATGGTAGTCACCGGTACGAGTAGATTCAAAAGTCAATAAACCACCTTTAACAAAACCGTTTGAACTACCGATGTGTACTATTATTAGTCTGCACCCCTTTCCTGATGGTGTATTTAAACCAGTAGATAAATTATTTAAAAAAGCCTGTCTTCGACTTGTAACAGTTTCATGTTGCCAAAATTTATTTGGTTTATGTCCCTCGTTGATCCATGTTTCATCTAAATAAAATATATTTCTTCTTTGGTTTCTCATTTCTTTTATAGTCCTTAGGTAATTTCTTTTCCATACTACAATATCGCTTCTTTCTATTAAAATAGACTTTCTGGAATGCTTTTTCCATAGAAAACCTATTTCTTTTAAAAGTTTCCATAGTGTGCTTCGACTCATTTCAGGGTAATCCTTATCATCTCGAACCGTGGCAAGAACTTTGTCTACTGTCGGAAATTCTTTTCTAAAGAAGAACGCATATACTTTCCTTCGAAGTCTTTCTTTCAAAAGATTTTCTAATTGAAATTTTGGTTTTCCTGGAGCTTTACGTGCTGTTTGAAACTCGCCACATTTCTCTTCTTTAACAATTCTGTAAATCGTAGATTTCCCAACACCAAGCGTACTACTAACTAATTCCACTGTGTCATCAACACTTTTACATTAAATGTTTGTCTGTAAATGATTTAAAACAATTAAATATTAATGTTTTTTCATTAACTGTTAAAGGACCGATTTTTTGTCATTTACGCAGCCCTTCCAAATTTTCCATGATCACACTAGAATTCACACTGCACCTTGCAAGTTGCAACTAAACGACATTTAGTAAACTGTCAAGAATACACAACTTGGACCTCCTTACTAAATGGAAAACCTATAATCGCATTTTCGGTGAAATTTGTTGGGAAGGTGTTTATCTACTTATAATTCGATTACTGTAAGAAATTCTTGGAATTAAAATAAAACAAAATTGGCAAATAGGTACTTATTGAAAATAATCTTAAGATACGGCTATGTAATCTTTAATACACAGGGCTTTTGGCCTGTCTAAACCTTTTTCTATTGTTCTGTACAGCTTATGTTTATAAAGGACCAATAAAAGACCCAAAACTTGTAATAGCTCAGGTACATTTATTACAATTTGAGGAAATATTTAGATTATTCTGTAAAAATATTTAAAATGACCGTAGTAAGTTTTGCATTAGAAATGCTGTTTTATTACTCTCTCATACATAAAAATAGACTATAGTTGTAAAGCTTGATTCAGCATCATGAAGTGGACGAAGATGCAACGCGCGTTCGCTGTCGAGGTGTATTTTAATAACGGCCCCTCGTGTAAATACATTTTATTAAAAAAAAAAGAATCTAAAACATTTCTTCAAGATCTCACCTCCTCCAAATGGAATATAATGCTTATCATTAACAGTCAAGTCGCCTTTCTCGTTTAAAAATCTTTCGGGTCTGAATTCGTACGGGTCTTTCCAAAAGCTTTCGTCCATGTGCACGCTGTAGAGGTTGGTTAAAATTATTGTATTTTCTGGTATTAAGTAACCGTAAAGTTCGGTATCTCTGAGGGCCCGATGGGCAATACCCAAGGGGGCTATTGTGACTCGTCTTTGAAGTTCCATAAGAACCGCTTCAGTATATTTTAATCTAAAAGTATTAAATATATATATATAATATCGTATAATTTAAAAATTAGGTAATTGTCTAGGGTATAATTAGATCTTTTGTTTTTTTCAATGTTGACGAAACAAAATTTATCAGGTTTCATCTTCGAACAATTAGTACTAGAGAGAGAGCGTGAAACGAGCTTGTAGGCGATTGTTGTGTTCGCAACATCTGTGAAGGAAGTGATGAAGCGGGCACAAGAGGGAAGGTAAACAAACCCTCTTGTTCAGTAGCGTATATTTTCTCTGTAAGAATATACATTGTCCAAACTTTTTAATTGTGAAAAAAAAAATTCGCTAATTTTACTATTTTTAAAATGTATACTATCTTATATGTGTCTGATGCAAAATTTAAAGATTAATTAACGACATTAATAAGCAAACCATTCATTACTACCTTATTTTATCACAAAGTGCTGGCCATCGATTTCTTCCGACTTCTCTATCCATTTCATTTTGGATTTTCTTTTGAATGTCAGGATATATTATCATTGCTAGCATAGCAAAACCCATGGTATTACTCGTGGTCTCCGCACCAGCCATGAAAAGGTCCAAACATAGAGACATGAGCTGGTCATCTAAAAATTATAAGTTTTAACATGTGGACCTTGACGCCAAAGAGTAATTTTACAGTGAAACTTTTGACTGCCTGTATTTTTAATTGGACTTAATATTGTTTTTAAAAATATATCTGGAAAACTAAAAACAATAGGACTTAATATTTAGCACCAATGGAAGGAGCAGAAAAATTATGTAGGAGTAACCAAAAACTTGAAAATGAAAGAAGGTGAACTTAATACTGTTTGGCTCTGAGGTCCAGACATTCTTTGAATATTCTAGTAATTAAACAACTCAAAATTAATAAATAGAAATACCTTTTAAGGATAATAATTTAAGAAATAAAATTATTTGTTGTTTTTTCATAAAAGTAACTTTTTAAAAAATAATTTACAATTAGTTTCTTTTTATATGACAAATAAATATCTTAGTGAAAAATGAACATTGAACAATTACTTCTTACCTGTAAATGTAGGATCATTTTTAACATCAATTTTCTGTAAAAATGCATCTATTAGATCTCTGGGTTGTTGAGAATAAGCAAACATTTTTCTGTGATCTTCAATAGTTTCCTAAAATTATAATTTTATGAAAAAACTATATAAACAATAGAGAGGAAGGTTTTATTATTTCTAGACTTATAATTTTTTTTAACAGATTGACAAGTAATATTAGAAAATAGATTGGTAAAAATTTCTAATGTACAGGGTGCTGGAATAAGCACTGTTAGTTGATGTATGCTATATATAAGAATATTTTAAAGACGATTTTTTTTTTATATAAACGCAAAAACAGGTCGATTTTTTTTTTTTTCAATAGGAACACTTCTGCATCATATTCTCAACTTTCATATGTCATTCCCCTCTCGTCCATCAATATAACCATTACAATTTAAATATGAAAAGTACCAACTGCGGCACATCATTTGAAATGTATTTTTTTGCGAATTTAGCAATATGAATGTTCTAGTATTCCTTCCACCAAAAATAAACTGTTACTTATTGTAAAGTGTGACACTTCTTTTGAAAGCTAAGTGCTAGGCTTCACCAACGATATACAATTAATCAGCGGACACCCTGTAAACTAGTTATTTTAATTTACCTCCAAGAATTCCCACATCCTTTCTAAAATTTCCTTAATCTGGTTGTATCCACTAGCATTTGGAGCGACATATCTTAAAAACGGCATCTGATTTAGCATCCCTCCAGAAATGTCGACCAATCTAAACGCATCGTGAATAATCTGCAACAATCTTCTCAGTCTTTCGTCGTCAATATCGAACCTCTGGCCAGCCATCATCGCCCAAAGACCATTCAAGACGGAAATGTCGAATGCATTATGCATAAAAATGGGTTCTGAGTTTTTGTTTTTAAAGATTTCTATAAGCGATCTGGTTTCTTCTTGGATTTTCTCTTCCATTTCCTTTCTACCAAAACCGAAGCTGCGTAAGTGTTGGAGAGAAAATTTTCGTTGGTTTTGCCAAAATTGACCGTCAGAAAAGACTATACCTAAAACAAAAAACCGAGGGATTTTTATAAGCTATATTTAAGTAATTTTATAGTTTCAGATTAACCAAAGACATGCGGAAAACTTCTATCAGTAAATATCATTTGGTTCGTAGTCTAGTAATGGAAGAACATATTAAATTTTATCATGTAGATGTACAAGGATTGCTAAGTGTAATAAGAGAAAGGTTATGGATCTTAGCTGGCCGACGGTCTATAAAATCAGTAATTTCTAAATAAATGTATTCGTTGTAAACGGTTGTCATTCAAGAATTTAGATGCCCTTCCAGTTCCAGCTGCTCTTCTTCAGTGAGATGCTAAAGTGTTTGAGATAGTATCTATGGATAAAAAAGTGGAATTACGTTCTTCTATTTACTGTCTTACATCTCAAAAATTCAAGATTTCAACTTAAATTTAATCCAAAGTTTTTAGCATACAACTGGTATATTATTTACATCAATACGTTTTATAAAATTCAAAATATTTGAAACAAAAACTATTGTCTATTAACATTTTATTTAAAATTACACAATTTAAATTGTACAAGAAATTGTATCAAATCTTGTACAACAAATTGTGTAGTCTAAAACAGTCTTTAGCTTACAGTTAGCTAAATATTTACCATTTATTGGTATTACCTATATATTTACGTATTACAAATTTGAAATACATTATTTTTATTTGTTATTTTTCGAAAAAATATGGAATTTATCAAAAAACCGATATTATACCGAAAATTATATAAAACTGCGATGAACTAAAAACATCGCCCTGTAGATATTCTTCCTGTACAATGACCTGGTCAACATAGTCCAGACCGAGCAATGAAAAATAATCGTGTTCCCAAGAAGAAGAAAAAAGTTGTGGACCGGTTTACGAGCCCACCAAACTTGGTCCATTTCTTCGATAAATAAGAACATATTTTGGGTTTGCCCTTGTGCTTTTCAGACACTGACCTATGTCTAACAAAAAGTCGTTGGCCTAACCTCTAGTTCTTCTAATGCCTTATAAATATAAATGTGTTTCTCAAGACACATAAAGTAACGGTAATAGATCGCTCATTTATTTGGGAAGTAACAGTGAAATATACGAAAAATATTTTAAAATGGTAATTTTGTAGATACACTTTTTAATATAATATATTTGGAAAAATAGTAACTCATTTTTTCAAATCTTCATTAAAAATAAGTTTTAACATTTATATAGGAGATATCTTTATTTGCTTTGTTTTGCAATTTGCTGGAATTAACATCGAACTTACTAAAATAGAATGTAGAATCATTTAACTCCATGTAACTTTCTGTCAGTCTAAATAGCTCTGTGAATTGGTCTTTCCCTCGGATAAGGATGACAAACCAAATAAGTACACAATTTCAAGAACATTTTACTCACCCAATCTTTTTCCAAATGTACGAAGTCTGAAAAAGAATCCATCTGGTCTTCCATCGAAATCCTCTCTAGTGAATACTTCTCGAATAGTATTTGCACCAAAAACTCCTATCACGTAATTCCTTCCTAATTTCATGCCAACTATATCTCCGTATTTTTTGTAAAGTTCCATCCAAACTAGGTGGTGGTATCCTAGTGCCTTTAATCTTTCTCTGTAGTGTAGAAAATTGCCAACTATTGGGAGCAGTTTCGGGCCTAAATGAAAGAACAAGAGGGAAATTTTACATAGATTTATAATAAAAGATATGCAGGGTGTCCCAATGAAAAATGAAAAATAAAAAAACACTCTGTGTAGGTAATACATAATTTCTGTGTCACTGAAGCAGGAATATACTCTAACTATTTAAAATATAAAAAGAACGACACTTTTATTTATACCCTCTAAAAGTTCAAGCAAATAAATGGTGAAAATTCACTAATTTATATAATAAACTAAACTTAAAAAAAAATTAATTTAATTAGTCTCCAATCCAAGATTTGAACCCGAGGGGTTTACATGAAAACCAAATGACCTCGTCACTGCTCCATTGCCACACATAATTTTATTTTAATACTCATAATTAAATTGATTTCATATAGTTTTATTAAAATGTATGATTTCTTTGTAAATAGAGACGAAATAAAAATAACACTTATTTAAAAATTTTAAAAATTATAGTAGCAGGTTGACCAAAATATGAACTATGATAAACGAATATCATATTTGTGCAATGTTGTTATAAGATAGAATAGATATGAACTATATTCCTTCAGTTAAACGCAATGGCATACTTTTTCGTTTTGTAGTCCGTGTGTAGAATAGCTAATACCACGTGGGAGTAGAAAAAAAATCTATATAATGTATCGATTACGTAAATTTACTGCAATTAAAAGAAGTATCTCAATTTAAAAAATATTCACAATAATTTATTTCGCTCGTATTAGCATTTATGTTTATTCTATTTTACTATTAGGACATCCTAAAAATAATTCCAAAATGTACAGGATACTCTGTTTAAAAAAAATGATTATTTTTTGTTGTATTTCCGATATTTACAATGATAAAGGGTGGGTAATTTATAATGAATAACCCTGTAACTTCTTTCGATCATCTTTCATAATTAAATAAAACTATAAATAAACATTTTCTTAGATCCAATTCTGATGTATATTATTGCAGAACTTCTTAATTATTTGATAAAGAGTATCGATATAAGAAATAAAATGGAGGCAGATACAATTTTGAGCTAGAACGTGAAAAATATCGATTCAAAATATTGTTTAAATTGATTGAAACAAAAAAAAAGAAATTTGCTTTAAAATAATAAAACAAAACAATATTGTTTTCTGTTTTAAATCATTTTAGTTACTGATAATAAACTGCCGTTTGCCGTCTCTTTTTATTGTAACCCTTTTGCTCTTTTACAATTTTCAGTTCATGTTCTACTGAAAAAATAATAATTCTGATATAAAATATAAAAATAATTTAGCTTTGCCATTTATTATCTTTACAAAATTTGTAACTTAAATATTGTTTTAAAATTATGGAATTAAGTTGAAATATATATATTTTTTTTCAATTTTATTATTAATGAGTCAATGTTCATGTTTTAATTTTAAGTGTAGGTACTACACTCGCGAAAAAAGAAGATACACTTTATTTTTCTGGTTTTAATCGGTAGTTAAGATCTTATAATTAATAAAATAAGATTCTGTAACCATAAAATAGAATTATTCTTTTGAGATGTAACCACAGAGCCGATTGAAATTAAATTTTTTATTTAATTAATGAAAATATGGCTTTTAATTTGTGAAATAATAAATGGTAATAAAATTTAAAATTATTGACTAAAATATGTTCGCAGGTACTTTAGTTTTTTTCAGCATCCAGCTGGTTTTTTAAGAGTACTTTTACAATTTTTTTTCTATTGAAAACTAAGAATATCAATGTAAAACGAAAAAACAAGCAATTGTTTGATTAAATAATTCACAGCCTGTATAAAAACTTGCAATATTAAAATGTTTTTTAAATTGTGAGATGAAATTCAAATTCAAATTTTTGATTTTTTTATTTTATTATTGAATTTTCTCACCTGGTGGATATTTTCTCGGCCTTCTCATATCATTTAGCACCACGAACAACAGCAAAGTCACCACCAAACAAAACACCGAAATAATCATCTTCAACTTCAACGTTTTGTGAATTCTTCCAGAGCTGAAGAAGAACTGCCCTTCGTGCTTCGATCTGGTGGTATTTATTCATCTTGACGTGGGACTACCATTTTCATTTGATGTTTTTTTGACCCCGTGACCCTTTTTCTAATGTCATTTTAAACATCCATTATGTTTCCCAAGTTTAGATTTTCAAGATAACCGTCAAAATATATGAATAGATTTTATGTAAATTGAGTGCGACAAATAATAAAAATTCTATAGCCAAATTTTCGGAATGTTTAGTTTTTACTTAAAGAGTAGTTTCCTAAAAATGAATGGGTCAATAAATGTTAATGAACATTGTTGTAACTCGTATTTTATTTATTATTATAAATATTTGAACTAAATTTGAGATAATGAATATAATCTGTTTTATTTAGAAACATACAGGGTTGAACAAAGTGAGCAGAATACCTGATTTTTGGCTTAATTATGACTGGTACGAAAATTTGATATTAGTAAAAGTTTTTGTGTATTTTATGTACTATTTAGCGGTGTTTACAGTTTTTCTGTTTATGTCATATTTTTCGAGTAAACATTTTTTTTTAATTCTCTGTTAATTTTTCGTTAAAAAAATAAGAATGTCTCAAACAAAATTCTAGTCTCAAATTTTGAATAGTTCGTGTGTTTAACAAGATCTTGGTAAATGAAATTTGAAAAAAATATTTAGACATTTATGATTTATGTCTAATTTTAAATTCTGATTTAAAACTATCTCAGTAACTGAGATATTTCAGGATCCATGTTCCCATATCAAAATTCATCAATTAACGAGAGCTCTCGGTGGTAAAGCGTTGTCTGTCGAATATACTACCACCCAATATAAATGTTTTCTCCAAAATGAATCGTAATATAGAAAGTTAGAAAATTTCCATATTATACTATATTTTATATTAATTAATTTATTAGAATTTTGTTAGCATACTATTTTTGTTCACAGATTTGGAAATACCGATTTTCTAAAACCAGTTTTCTCTGCGAGGAAAAATTTGCCAGAAAGTATGACTTACGGAAATTGCGAGTATCTGCCTGAACAACAGGGTCAAACAACGATTCTACAAGAGCTGGTGACATTATGCCCTGATGCTCCGAAGTGTTGAGTCATCAACCGAAACTGAACGAAACTTTATTGAAATTTATGCATCCACGCCGAAATTCTGTGTTATGTCCCTTAGCTGCTGTGGCCCTATTGATGTCAAAAACTGTACTAGGAAACGTCGTAGTAGATGGATGTTCCATCACCATAGCACCTAGGAATTCTTCTGTGGAATCATCAGGATATAAGGGTGAGTACTTTCCTATTATTATTAATCTTGGTATTTCACTTCATTTTCTGGTGTCTATTTAGTGTTTTCATTTTCATATTGTTCGATTTTTTGTTGGTCTGTTCTTTATATTTTGTTTTTCTATTCTGGTGATTTGACCGTCTGGTTTGGGTATTTATTTTTCGGTTCCATTCAGCGTTTTCTTCTCTATGTCGTTAGAATTCTTTGTCTGCACTTGGTATATTGCTTTCTTTTCTGGTATCCATTTAGTATTTTCGGTTTCATGTAATTTGAATTTTTTGTCCGTTTGTTCTTGGTATTTTGTTTTTTTTTATGATGTCCATTCGTTATTTTCGTCTTCAAGTGACACACATACATACACACACAACACGCACGCATGCACACACGCACGCTCGCACACACACGCACGCTCGCACACACGCACGCTCGCACGCACGCTCGCACACACACACGCACGCTCGCACACACACACGCACGCTCGCACACACCCACAAGAACGCACGCGCGCACACACACACACACACGTGCGCGCACACAACACGCACACACACGTGCGCGCACACAACACGCACACACACGCGTTAAAAAAAAGATTTGTTGCCCCTTCCCTTATGTAACAACGCACATGTTTTTTAGCTTTAAATTTTTTGTTCGCAGATTTTGGAATAGCGATTTTCTAAAACCAGTTTTCTCTGCGCGGTTACCAACTTATAAGACAACAGCATACGATCTTCAAGTAACGAGGTGACGAGAAGAAATTTGACGAAAGGTACGACTTACGGGGTTTGTGATTACAAACTACAAAAGCTGGTAACATTAGGCCATGATGCTCCGAAATGCTATGATGAACTGAACGAAGCTTTATTGAATATATGTATAGATGAATGTTCCATCCACCATGACACCTAGGAATTCTTCTGTGAGATCACCGGGAGATACGGGTAAGAATTTTTCTATTATTATTCTTGGTATTTTGCTTTCTTTTCTGTGTTTTCGTTTTTATGACGTTCGAAATCTTTGTCTGCAGGTTCTTCGACGCAACCAGACGCAGCCAGACGTAACCAGAAGTAGATAGACGCCGCCAGACATAGATAGACGCGATTAGACGCAGCTAGACGCATCTATACGTAGCCAGATGTATATAGACGCAGCCAAACGTAGATAGACGCAGCCAGACGTAGGTAGACGCAACCAGACACAGCCAGCCACAACCAGACGTAGATAGACGCAGCCAGACGTAGATAGACGCAACCAGAAACAGCCCTACACAGCCAGAGGCAACCAGACGCAGATAGACGCAGCCAGACGTAGATAGACGCAGCCAGAAGCATCTATACGCAGCCAGACGTAGATAGACGCAGCCAGACAGATAGATGCAGCCAGACGTAGGTAGACGCAGCCAGACGTAGATAGACTCAATCAGACGTAGATAGACGCAACCAGTCGCAGCCAGACGTAGATAGACGTAACCAGACTTAGTTAGACGCAGCCAGAAGTAGATAGACGCAACCAGACGTAGATAAACACAACCAGACGCAGTTAAACGCAGCCAGTCGCATCTATACGCAGCCAGACGTAGATAGACGCAAACAGACGCATTCAGACGAATCTTTACGCGGCCAGACGTAGATAGACGCAGCCAGACTCATCTAGACGCAGCCAGACTCATCTAGACGCAGCCAGACGTAGATAGACTCAGCCAGACGTAAATAGACCCAGCCAGACGCAACCAGACGTAGATAGACGCAACCAGACGTAGATAGACACAACCAGACGCAGTTAAACGCAGCCAGTCGGATCCATACGCAGCCAGACGTAGATAGACGCAAACAGACGCATTCAGACGAATCTTTACGCAGCCAGACGTAGATAGACGCAGCCAGACTCATCTAGACGCAGCCAGACGTAGATAGACTCAGCCAGACGTAGATAGACTCAGCCAGACGTAGATAGAATCAGCCAGACGTAGATAGATTCATCCAGACGTAGATAGACTCAGCCAGACGTAAATAGACGCAACCAGTCGCAGCCAGACATAGATAGACGCAACCAGACGCAGTTAGACGCAGCCAGACGCATCTATACGCAGCCAGACATAGATAGGCGCAGCCAGACACAGATAGATACAGCCAAATGTAGGTAGACGCGGCCATACGTAGATAGACTCAGCCAGACGAAGATAGACGAACACAGACGAATATAGATGAAGATAGACGAACACAGACAGAGACAGACGAAGATAGACGAACATAGACGAAAACAGACGAAGATAGACGAAGATAGACGAAGATAGACGAACATAGACGAACACAGACGAAGATAGACGAACACAGACGAATATAGACGAAGACAGACGAACATAGACGAACACAAATTAAGACAGACTAAGATAGACGAACACAGACGAAGATAGACGAAGGCAGACGAACATAGACGAATACAGACGAAGATAGACGAAGATGGACGAAGATGGACGAAGATAGACGAACACAGACGAAGATGGACGAACATATACGAACACAGACGAAGATAGACGAACACATACGAACACAGACGAAGACAGACAAAGATAAACGAACATAAACGAAGATAGACGAACACAGACAAAGACAGACGAATATAGACGAATACAGACGAAGATAGACGAACACAGATGAACATAGACAAACATAGACGAACACAGACGAAGACAGACGAACACAGATGAAGACAGACGAAGATAGACGAATATTAGACAAAGATAGACGAATACAGACGAACATAGACGAATATGAACGAACATAGACAAACACAGACGAAGATAGACGAACACAGACGAACATAGACGAACACAGACGAAGATAGACGAACACAGATGAACATAGACGAACACAGACGAAGAAAGACGAATATAGACGATCATAGACGAAGACAGACGCTGAAAGACGGACCGGCAGAAGCAGACACAGACAGACGGACAACACGTATTTAGTTTTTTTTACAATATTGCTCTTCTGAAAAATTGGTTTCATAGAAAGAACTTGATGGTTTTTGCTGTGAACCTTTTACTTTTATTTTTATACTTATACTGTGCGTTTTTTGTTTCAGAAATCTCATTCTTCATTGCGTTAGGGGCGCAATGGTATCTAGGAAATGGTAACTTGAATTTTGTAGCAGCCCGACAGTCCCGGCCCGATAGTCCCACCCCAATAGTCCCAGCTAACTTCATATATTTTTTTGTTATTGTATTTGTATATTTTTATTTAATAAATTTATTTTTTTTGATTATGCTTATTAATTAGAAATACTTATTAATTAGAAATACTAATCTACCTAAAGTGTAGAGTAGCCGCCTTTATATGAAGTTGAACCATAGATGCTAGATCTTATGTTATCGAATCTACCGATTTAATCTAAAAAAAGGAGAGTATAGCCTTCAAAAATGTTTGCATAAAATTTTGTTCGTTTCCAATTTCGCTGAAATTTGGTACAGAGAATCAGGATGTAAAAAGTAATGTCGGAGTGGTGTCTGTTACTCAATATCTCTCCTCGTTCAGAAGTTGGAAAAAGGTGCTCCAATTTGGACGAAACGTTGTATGCAGTAAGTAGAAGACAAGTACGTTTGAAGAGAGTCAGTTGCAGTTCTCTAAGTTTGCTAATTATCACACAACAAGCCTCTACTTTTTGACTATTGAAGTTATTGAGAAAAGGACTATTTTTCTTAACGTTTTAGAGCGCATACTGTCCACTGTCCGATTTTCAACTCAATCGGAGACCATGAATTTTTCACGAAAAATCGAAAGGGTATAGCCTTCAAAATTTTTTGATCAAATTATTTTTTTCCTCAGATTTTGATGCAAATTTGGGTACATATAAAAGAAAGCATGACAAATTACAGGGTGGACTCGGTTGCTTCGTTTCTATAACCGTTTAATGTTTTTTTCGTTTTTCTCAGTAACTAATTATTCAATTACCTTGTTAATTAGCACAGATGTAGAGCAGGACAGATACATCAGTGTACTGTTTTCCTTTCGTCTCTATCTTCAGCAGTTTGGGAAATATTCAAGTTCAAAACTTCAAACGCGAATATCTCGGAAACGGTAAGAGATAGAGCAAAATGACCCAGAGGTCCACGGGCAGACCCTAAAATGAAGTACGTAGGGAGCTCTATCGACCCACGCAATAAAAACAATTTTTTTTTTTCGAATTTTCAAAAAAATTTTAAAAGTCCACTTTTCGTCGATTTCAGATTTCATAGTCGAAAAAAAATTTATTGTTTATCTAAAATGTGGACAGAACATGGCGAAACCAATACCTTTTTAAACTGGTCTCGCCATCTATGGACGAATTAACAAACAAGGAGCAGTTAATAGTAGAATACTCTTTTGATATCTTCCTTGTTTCCACAATTTGTCAGTAGATGGCGCCATCAGTACAACTAACTAGAATACGGCCATTTTTTATCCATAATTTTTTTTTGTCTCCGATTTCACTGAAATTTGGTACAGAAAATCAGGATGTAAAACGTAATGTCGGAGTGGTGTCTGTTACTCAATATCTCTCCTCGTTCAGAAGTTGGAAAAAGGTGCTCCAATTTGGACGAAACGTTGTATGCAGTAAGTAGAAGACAAGTACGTTTGAAGAGAGTCAGTTGCAGTTCTCTAAGTTTGCTAATTATCACACAACAAGCCTCTAGTTTTTGACTATTTAAGTTATTGAGAAAAGGACTATTTTTCTTAATGTTTTAGAGCGCATACTGTCCACTGTCCGATTTTCAACTCAATCGGAGACCATGAATTTTTCACGAAAAATCGAAAGGGTATAGCCTTCAAAAATTTTTGCATAAAATTTTTTTCGTCTCCGATTTCGCTGAAATTTGGTACATAGAATCAGGATGTAAAACTAAATGTCGGAGTGGTGTCTGTTACTCAATATCTCTCCTCGTTCAGAAGTTGGAAAAAGGTGCTCCGATTTGGACGAAACGTCGTATACAGATATTAGACGATCAGTAGGTTTGAATAAACTCACAAGCAGTTTTCTATGTTTGCCAATTATCGAGAAACAAGCCTCAACTTTTCGACGATTTAGTTTAGTGGGAAACGGACCTATTTTCTTACCGATTTAAAGCGCATACTGTCCACTGTCCGATTTTCAGCTCAATCGAAGACCATGAATTTTTCACGGAAAATCGAAAGGGTATAGCCTTCAAAATTTTTTGAGAAAAAAATTTTTTGTCTCCGATTTCAATGAAAATTTGGGTGCATATAAAAGAAAGTATGACAAATTACAGGGTGGACTCGGTTGCTTCGTTTCTATAACCGTTTAATGTTTTTTTCGTTTTTCTCAGTAACTAATTATTCAATTACTTTGTAAATTAGCACAGATGTAGAGCAGTACAGATACATTAGGATGCTGTTTTCCTTTCTTCTCTATCTTCAGCAGTTTAGGAAATATTAAAGTTCAAAACTTCAAACGCGAATATCTCGGAAACGGTAAGAGATAGAGCAAAATGACCCAGAGGTCCACGGGCAGACCCTAAAATGAAGTACGTAGGGAGCTCTATCGATCCACGCAATAAAAACAATTTTTTTTTTCGAATTTTCAAAAATTTTTCAAAAGTCCACTTTTCGTCGATTTCAGATTTCATAGTCGAAAAAAAATTTATTGTTTATCTAAAATGTGGACAGAACATGGCGAAACCAATACCTTTTTAAACTGGTCTCGCCATCTATGGACGAATTAACAAACAAGGAGCAGTTAATAGTAGAATACTATTTTGATATCTTCCTTGTTTTCACAATTTGGCAGTAGATGGCGCCATCAGTACAACTAACTAGAATACGGCCATTTTTTATCCATAATTTTTTTTGTCTCCGATTTCACTGAAATTTGGTACAGAGAATCAGGATGTAAAGAGTAATGTCGGAGTGGTGTCTGTTACTCAATACCTCTCCTCGTTCAGAAGTTGGAAAAAGGTGTTCCAATTTGGACGAAACGTTGTATGCAGTAAGTAGAAGACAAGTACCTTTGAAGAGAGTCAGTTGCAATTCTCTAAGTTTGCTAATTATCACACAACAAGCCTCTACTTTTTGACTATTGAAGTTATTGAGAAAAGGACTGTTTTTCTTAACGTTTTAGAGCGCATACTGTCCACTGTCCGATTTTCAACTCAATCGGAGACCATGAATTTTTCATGAAAAAACGAAAATAGCCTTCAAAATTTTTTGATCAAATTATTTTTTTCCTCAGATTTTGATGCACATTTGGGTACATATAAAAGAAAGCATGACAAATTACAGGGTGGACTCGGTTGCTTCGTTTCTATAACCGTTTAATGTTTTTTTCGTTTTTCTCAGTAACTAATTATTCAATTACTTTGTAAATTAGCACAGATGTAGAGCAGGACAGATACATTAGGATGCTGTTTCCCGTTCGTCTCTATCTTGAGCAGTTTAGGAAATATTCAAGTTCAAAACTTCAAACGCGAATATCTCGGAAACGGTAAGAGATAGAGCAAAATGACCCAGAGGTCCACGGGCAGACCCTAAAATGGAGTACGTAGGGAGCTCTATCGACCCACGCAATAAAAACAATTTTTTTTTTCGAATTTTCAAAAATTTTTCAAAAGTCCACTTTTCGTCGATTTCATAGTCGAAAAAAATTTACTCTCATGGCAAAAATCGATATATTTTTTAACTGGTTTCGCCATCTATAGACGAAATCACAAACAAGGAGTAGATTTTAATAGAATACTATTTTGACATGTTCCTTGTTTTGGCAACTCGTCAGTAGATGGCGCCAGCAGTATAACTAACTAGAGTACGTTCATCTTTTATCCACATTTTGAGAAGAAAATGCTTTGTACTCTAAAACGATTTGTCTTAGAGAGGAACAGATTCTTTTTTTAAAATCTGCACATTAGATTCTATGTCTATGCCGAATTTCAGCTCAGTCGGACACCATGAATTTTTCACGAAAAATCGAAAGGGTATAGCCTTCAAAATTTTTTGAGAAAAAATTTTTTTGTCTCCGATTTCAATGAAAATTTGGGTACATATAAAAGAAAGCATGAAAATTTACAGGGTGGACTCGGTTGCTTCGTTTCTATAACCGTTTAATGTTTTTTTCGTTTTTCTCAGTAACTAATTATTCAATTACCTTGTAAATTAGCACAGATGTAGAGCAGGACAGATACATTAGGATGCTGTTTTCCTTTCGTCTCTATCTCCAGCAGTTTAGGAAATATTCAAGTTCAAATCTTCAAACGCGAATATCTCGGAAACGGTAAGAGATAGAGCAAAATGACCCAGAGGTCCACGGGCAGACCCTAAAATGAAGTACGTAGGGAGCTCTATCGACCCACGCAGTAAAAACAATTTTTTTTTTCGAAATTTCAAAATTTTTTCAAAAGTTCACTTTTCGTCGATTTCAGATTTCATATTCGAAAGAAATGTACTTTGAGAGTCATTTTTTAATAGTCTTCAAAATTTTTTGATCAAATTATTTTTTTCCTCAGATTTTGATGCAAATTTGGGTACATATAAAAGAAAGCATGACAAATTACAGGGTGGACTCGGTTGCTTCGTTTCTATAACCATTTAATGTTTTTTTCGTTTTTCTCAGTAACTAATTATTCAATTACCCTGTAAATAAGCACAAATGTAGAGCAGGATAGATACATGAGGGTGCTGTTTTCCTTTCTTCTCTATCTTCAGCAGTTTGGGAAATATTCAAGTTCAAAACTTCAAACGCGAATATCTCGGAAACGGTAAGAGATAGAGCAAAATGACCCAGAGGTCCACGGGCAGACCCTAAAATGAAGTACGTAGGGAGCTCTATCGACCCACGCAATAAAAACAATTTTTTTTTTCGAATTTTCAAAATTTTTTCAAAAGTCCACTTTTGGTCGATTTCAGATTTCATAGTCGAAAAAAATTTACTCTCATGGCAAAATCGATACATTTTTTAACTGGTTTCGCCATCTATAGACGAAATCACAAACAAGGAGTAGATTATAATAGAATAATATTTTGACATGTTCCTTGTTTTGGCAACTCGTCAGTAGATGGCGCTATCAGTTTAACTAACTAGAGTGCGGCCATTTTTTATCCATATTATAAGAAGAAAATGCTTTGTTCTCTAAAACGATTTGTCTTAGATTCTATGTCTATTCCGAATTTCAGCTCGGTCGGACACCATGAATTTTTCACGAAAAATCGAAAGAGGAATAGCCTTCAAAATTTTTTTTTCTCCGATTTCAATGAAAATTTGGCTACATATCAAAGAGAACAATGCAAATTACGGGGTGGATTCAGTTGCTTCTTATTGAGAAGGGTTTTATTTTTTTTTAATTTTCCTCAGTTACTAATTATCGAATCATTTTCTAAACTTGTTCAAAACGTAGAGCCGAATAGGTATAATAGAGTACTCTTTGTAGTTCGTCTCTGTCCTAAGCCGTTTAGGAGATATTAAAGTTTATAAATCCATTGATTTTGCGTTACCCTGATTGGCAATGACTATTTGATGAAGAAACCTAATTTTGCGTTACCCTGAATTTTACAGTAATTTGATTGAGGAACTTAAATATCTCCTCGCTCTTCTGCTCTCCTGTCAACGAATTGCAACTTTTGTTAGTTTGAAACGGAAATCGAGTTAGTATGGAAAAATGTTATTTTTGCTTCGATATTCCTAAAATTTAGCTCTATGTTACAGAAAAGGTCAAATACAGTAAGTATATTGAAGTTAAATAAAAAGAGAGCGTCAAGAAGAGATGTGAAGATTCTTATTGTTAGAAAATAAAGGATTTAACTTCAAAATTATTGTTACTTAACTATTTTTATCACCCTGTATAGCCATTTCATAAAACACGTGTTTGTTTAAATTCTAATAAAGAAACAAAATAAAGAATGTCTTTAACGGGCTAGTGCCTACTTGCTTGTCTTCACTCGATCCAAATTCAAGTGTTCTTTCTTGGTTACTAATGACGGGAGCGTTGACACCTGTGTCGACGATCTCCTAATTCGCCGACTCTTAAGGAGTAGGTATGTATATAGAAACAAATTAAAAAAAATACAACAAAAGATTTAATAACATAAAACAAAAAAATCACAATTTCATTTTATCATAGTTTTCTAAAGACCATTGCTGTCTTTGAGAATCGGGGTTACACTTTTCCATAATCAGTTTATTTTTAGATTCGTTTATGGCTAAGCACTTTTCACTACTACCGTGTCGCAGCAACTTAAGCGTATTGTCGTAATCCCAATATTGATTTCCTTTACTACCATGGCACGGATAAAGAATTACGTCTTGTCCACTGTAATCCAGACACGATTCGTCGCGACGAATTTCTCCTACTTTGCTGTACAACCAGAACTAAAAAAATAAATAAAAAAACCATTTAATAAATACGATAACCACACTTACATAGTGGCGGCTGGTGGCCAAAATTTTGGGGGTTCACAGTGACAGAATATAGGTATCAGTACAGATGTATGAAAAAAACTTTCAGTATTTTAGAAATTTTATAATATACCTTTCTAAAACACTGGCAGGTTTTTACCTATATCTGTACCGGGATCTATATTCTTCCAACATTTTGGTTACGAGCCGCCCCTGCATTTACATATTACAAGATATTTTATCACGTATCTAGGGATGTTGCGATACTACTGATATGATACTGGTATCCATACTTTTCTTTCGATACCGGGTAATTTAGTACCCGATACTTTGCTTTCGATACTTTACCTATATCGATATTACTTTTGTTTCGATACTACTACTTCTGTTTCAATATTTTACTAGTTTTGACTTTACAATACATACAAAAAGTTGTATAGTATGTCGGCTTACCCTATGACTTTTTTTTTGGTTGTTCTATATTCTTCCAAAATACTTTAATTTCGATACTTTACTGGTATCGCAACATTCCTACACGTATCCCTTCGATAATTGTATATACAGGTTGTTTTCTAATTGAATGTCAATATTAAAGGTGGTTAAGAAGAAAAAAAGTCAAGTTTTTAAAGACTGTATCACCCTGTACATCAAAAATTAAGCGACTCGTTCATAGGAGCGCACATGTGCACGTGCACCTCCAGAGAAATATTGTAAATAAGTTTTTAACCAATAAAAAACAAAATAATGAGCTTTACTTATAAGCAATAAAGTCCATTAAAGTCAATGAATTTGTTTTATTGGTTAAAAACTTATTTACAACATTTCTAGGAGAGTACGTGCCACGCATGGACAGGACAGGTTCATATGAAATTTTATTCTTAAAATGGACCCGCAAATCTCCCGCTTAAATATAGAAATTCAATTAGAAAACACCCTGTATATAAGTTAGAAAGCTTAAAACTATGGGAGGAGATCTGAATATGACAGTGGTTACATTTAAATATCTTTTAAATTAAAATTGTTAATACTGTGGCCACCTAGTATAGAAAGAAGGAACAGTGGACAAAAATTTTTGCACTTTTTCAAATCAAATTGTAATTTTGTTCAAATAAATGAAATATTAATTTTTGTATATAATCGAGGCAATGAAGCACTGCCAAAAGTTTTTTTATAAAAAATGTCCCTACTTTTTATCTTATTCAAACCGGATATTGCATTGATGCAGCCAAAAATGCATTCAACAAATTCATTTTTTGAGATGGCTTTTGGAAGATTAAAGAACTTTGTCTTCTTGAACAAACGAAAATGACGAACCGAAAACCGTCATGGGGAGTTTTTTGGGGCGCTAACTTCAAATGTGACATCGGCGAACACCTTCCGGATACCTGGTACGCCAAAAACAACCCGAAAATTATTTTATGGTCATTTTTTGGGCCGCTTAATTAAAATTTCACGTCAAAAACGATTCCCCGAACACCTAATGCACCGAACCCTGGGCCTGAACGTCGTCTATAAGAGTTTTCCTCACACAATCGAAAAAGACGAACCGAAAATCGTTCTGGGGCACTGAATCTGAATTTCACGTCGAAAACGACCCTCCTAACACCACGTGCACCAGAATCTTCATCGTGACATCGATGTCATTCCCATGAATGTCAACCAAATCTGATGTTTTAGAGACGGACATCAATACTGCAATAGTTAAATTATGTGAGGAAGAAAGAAATCGAATGAATAGAAAGTCAATATTTATATGTAATTGGCATTTGAAACATTTTTATTGAACTCAAATCAAATACAATCTAACTGTAACTTTACCTTACCTCATTAATTAATACACATCAATGAATGTGTGAAATTATGAGACGATTTTCGGTTAGTGTTTTGTGATCGTGTCTAAAAAAACCCTCGGAAACGACGTTTAGCTCGAGGTTCCGGTGCAACAGATGTTGGGAGGGTCGTCTTCTTCGATTGTGTGAGGAAAACTCTTGAAGACGAAGTTCAGGGCCAGATTCCGATGTACTAAGTGTTCGAAGGATCGTTTTCGACATGAAATTAGGATTTAGCGACCTAAAAAACGCCCTTACAATGATTTTCGGGATGTTTTTAGCGATATTGTTTGAATAAATCTCGGGGAGGACGTCCACGTGTAGATTTACGCGTACCAGGTATCACCGATGCCATATTTGAATTCAGCCACCTCAAACACCCCCCATAACGATTTTCGGTTTATCTTTTTCGATTGTGTGAGGGAAACTCACGGAGATGATGTCCGTTTCCTCGTTTTGGGGCACCAGGTGTTCATGGGGTCGTTTTCGACGTGAAATTAGGATTCAACGACCCAAAAAAAAGCCCCTACAATGATTTTTGGGTTGTTTTTGGCGATCTTGTCAGGAAAATTCTCGGGGATAACGTTCACGTCCAGGTTTCAGCAAACCAGGTATCCGGAGGGTATTTGCCGACGCCTTATTTGAATTCAGCGACCCAAAAAAACCCCGGACGCCGAGTTTCTCTCCTTCTCCACGTGAATTTCATTAGAGTCTCACGGAGTCTCCTGAGCTCCAAGTCGGCTGTGGGTCAATTTTTTTTTTTTAACTTAATACCAATTTTCTTCGTCTACATATTAAGGACAAACTTTTTTTTATTGTACAATTGAACATTTAGAATGTTTATGTGAAGTTTTTCACTCTTTCTATCTTACAGTTCGGCCAAATATTTAACAATCACAATAATAACAATGAATTAATAAAAAAAATGTGTGCTGCACCGTACACGTGAGAGAAGTAAAACTAGAGAATAGGAAAGATTTTTTTACTTTTTACTCTGTTTACTCTTTCTTTACTCACTACTTTTTACTTTCTACCCTACTCTCTATTTTTTTACTCTCTACTCTTTACTCTCTATTTTTTACTCTCTACTCTTCACTCTCTACTGTTTACTCTTTACTCTCTACTTTTTACTCTTTACTCTCTACTTCTCTCTACTTCTCTCTACTCTTTACTTTTTATTCTCCACTCTACGTAACTCTACTCTACTCGGCCTAAGAAGTTCTACTTCAAAAACAATTATTTAAAATGTTACATACCTGGTTTCCTCCTTGTCTATGACAAGGGTAAAGACCGGCAGCTTTGTGCAAATCGCTTCGACGGGCTGGCGAATCGAGGCAAGTTTTGCCGCCATAACCGAGGTTTCTTACCTAAAAAAAATATTATAGATAAGTCAAATATATAATTGATAATATTTAATTTTGTTTTTATTATCCAGCTCAAATTAGTTTTAATCTAACTATGCAAATTCTATCATGTACTAATCTGAACTAAAGAATTGCTCTGAGCTCTGAGCAAAGTCTATTCATTCATGAATCTGAGGAATTTAAACAAAAATATTGAATATTTTATTAAGATAACAAATAAAATAAAATGTTATACCTCTCCGCTTGCTACAGCTTCTCCTGGTATAAACAGTTCTGGATAAATATTATCCAAATACCACTTGAAACTCTTGCAACCCAAGTTTTTCCTCAGTTCTTTCCTTTTGCTGACGTCACCGTAATTATCTTTGTCGTTTCCTATCCTTTGATAATAGTATTTAGCATATTCGTCGAGCCAAACTTCAGCCAATCGAACGGAATTCCTTCTTAGGACGTTCACCCCTTTTCGCCATTTATAAGGCGATCTTTTCCTGTGAAAATGTTTGAAATTAGATGTTGGCTTTTAACAGTGCTGAGTTCCTAAAGTGACGATGAGAAACAGTAACAAAGCCCGCACAGAATACAAGGCTAATAACAATATTCTTCTAATACAAAAAAGCATTTGAGATTATTAGGTTTTTGTATCAGGGCTGTTATCATTGAAACAACTATTTGGAAACTGAATCTTCATTTTTACAAGAAATATAAGAAAACGTTATAGTCCGGGAACTATTGCTAATATATTAGGTATACATTTATAGTCTAGACATTAGTATAAAATAATGTAACTAAATTACAGCTGTTTAATTTTAAGTGGCCCAATAAAATTGCAATTATGAAGGAGGAATTATAAAATACTTCCTATGCAACTTTATTGAATATTCAGACATACAGACGGAAATCAACGCGAAATTAGTCAAAAGAGTTTCAGGGAACCCCAAAACGTAAAAATTCCTATACTTTCCTTGTCTGTTACAGACAAAAAATGAAAACACTGCTGATATTTGACAAAAAAATGTGTCTAGTATTTCTGATTTATGTCTCAAATTTCTTCTTATCTTTATCTAATATCTATCATTTTTCTGCTTATTACTAAATCGAGTATAAACGGGAAATTGTATTAAGCTTAAGGCTAAGACTATTACTAGGACTGTTAATATTACTATAATGTTCATTTAGGTAAATTTCGTTTAATTTCTGTCAAATTTTCAAACAGCTGCGCCATTTACTTGTGTTTAACGGCCTTTGAAAACGAATTCCCGTTAATTTTTTTAATTACAAGCATTAAGAGTAATTTTAAAAAACCGACTTCAAAATCGTGTAGATGGCGTCACATCTTAACCAAATTTATATGGGACCACCCCTGAGGTACCCCCTTACTAACAAAAAAAGAATCAAAGAAATTGGACAAGGTGGTAAAGAATTACCGCTTAACATACATACAAAATGAAGAGTTTGAGGATTTTTTAATGAAATTAATTATTAAATTTTGACCATATTTATATGGGACTACCCCTGAGGTATCCCCTTACTAACAAAAAAGAATCAAAGAAATTGGACAAGGTGGTAAAGAATTACCGCTTAACATACATACAAAATGAAGAGTTTGAGGATTTTTTAATGAAATTAATTATTAAATTTTGACCATATTTATACGGGACTACCCCTGAGGTACCCCCTTACTAACAAAAAAGAATCATAGAAATTGGACAAGGTGATAAAGAATTATCGATAAACATAGATAAAAAATGAAGAGTGAGGATTTTCTAATGAAACTAATTATTAGATTTTTATCATATTTATATGGAACCACCTCTGAGGTACCTCCTTACTAACAAAAAAAGAATCAAAGAAATAGGACAAAGTGGTAAAGAATTATGGTTAAATATATATAAAAAATGAAGAATTTGGGGATTTTCTCATGGACCCAATTATTAAATTTTGGCTAAATTTATATGGGACCACCCCTGAGGTACCCCCTTACTAACAAAAAAAGAATCAAAGAAATAGGACAAAGTGGTAAAGAATTATGGTTAAATATATATAAAAAATGAAGAATTTGAGGATTTTCTCATGGACCCAATTATTAAATTTTGGCTAAATTTATATGGGACCGCCCCTGAGGTACCCCCTTACTAACAAAAATGAAACAAAGAAATAGGACAAAGTGGTAAAGAATTATGGTTAAATATATATATAAAAAATGAAGAATTTGAGGATTTTCTCATGGACCCAATTATTAAATTTTGGCTAAATTTATATGGGACCACCCCTAAGGTACCCCCTTACTAACAAAAAAAGAATTAAAGAAATAGGACAAAGTGGTAAAGAATTATGGTTAAATATATATAAAAAAATGAAGAATTTGAGGATTTTCTCATGGACCCAATTATTAAATTTTGGCTAAATTTATATGGGACCACCCTTGAGGTACCCCCTTACTAACAAAAAAGAAACAAAGAAATAGGACAAAGTGGTAAAGAATTATGGTTAAATATATATATAAAAAATGAAGAATTTGAGGATTTTCTCATGGACCCAATTATTAAATTTTGGCTAAATTTATATGGGACCACCCCTGAGGTACCCCCTTACTAACAAAAAAAGAATTAAAGAAATAGGACAAAGTGGTAAAGAATTATGGTTAAATATATATAAAAAAATGAAGAATTTGAGGATTTTCTCATGGACCCAATTATTAAATTTTGGCTAAATTTATATGGGACCACCCCTGAGGTACCCCCTTACTAACAAAAAAAGAATCAAAGAAATAGGACAAAGTGGTAAAGAATTATGGTTAAATATATATATAAAAAATGAAGAATTTGAGGATTTTCTCATGGACCCAATTATTAAATTTTGGCTAAATTTATATGGGACCACCCCTGAGGTACCCCCTTACTAACAAAAAAAGAATTAAAGAAATAGGACAAAGTGGTAAAGAATTATGGTTAAATATATATAAAAAATGAAGAATTTGAGGATTTTCTCATGGACCCAATTATTAAATTTTGGCTAAATTTATATGGGACCGCCCCTGAGGTACTTCCTTACTAACAAAAAAGAATCATAGAAATTGGACAAGGTGGTAAAGAATTACCACTTAACATACATACAAAATGAAGAGTTTGAGGATTTTCTCATGGACCCAATTATTAGTGTTTGACCTACTTTATATGGGACCACCCCTGAGGTACCCCCTTACTAACAACAAAGGAATTATAGAAATTGGACAAGGTAGTAAAGAATTACCGCTAAACATACATTAAAAATGAAGAGTTTGAGGATTTTCTAATGGATCCAATTATTAGATTTTGACCAAATTAATATGGAACCACCCCTGAGGTACCACCTTTCCAACAAAAAAATCAGAATCATTGAAATCGAACATCGTGTTTAATAATTATCGCTGAAAAAACCTAAAAAAAAAAAAAATATTACGACGAATTGAGAACCTTCTCATTTTTTGAAGTTGGTTGAAAACGAGCATAAATAAACAAAATAATACACAAAATGTTAGATACCCTTTGGTTTTTGAGTATAAATTCGTTAAATCGGTTTTTGAATTCGTCTTCAATCATGTCAATGTGTTTTATAAGAGTTAAATATGAAACTTTCTTAAAATCCTTCATTTCTTTAAATTGTTCTTTACAACTTGTAAAAAATGAAAAAGCATGTTTTTATAGTACAAACTTGAAAAATTTAATGTCGTGCGAGCCATTTTCGACCCGGCCAATGATACTCTAATCCCTTAAAACTCTCTTTAATTTATTTAAGTCTTTTAAGGCCTCCCCTTTTACTCTTACCAAAAATATTTATTGAAATAGATCAATTTCCGAAACCCTCTAATGATCCGCCCGTGCATATATCGTAAATCTACCGAACCAATGACTTCTACAATTTGGTAGATACGCCATTCCAGAAAGTTCTTGGTTGTTTGATAAATGATACGAAATTGCAAATTTTGGCGAATGTACCATAATTATAAATCAATTGAAAAACTAGTGGAATTTTCGAGAATGTTCACATTTTTTTGACGTTTGAGAGTCAGTTTATAACTAGAGATTGATGTGTTAAAATATATATTTTAATTTATATAATTCTTCTTTTTTAAGTATCAGTTTGGATTTAATTCAGAGCTTTGCATGGACATTGTTGGTCATAACCTACTTTAGAAATATTTTTTATATAATTTGGATTTAATATAAGTACTATTTGTATACAGTATGCATCATCAGTGTTGCACTGTCCAAAATATAATTCTATTATTACTAACATTTTCGAATAATTCTTTTGACGTATTTTCATACATAATTTTCCTATAACAATTACGATTAATATAAATGTTGTACACTTACCTAAATATATGCCCGACATGCGAACAAGGTATAATTTCTAATGTACCTCCGCACATCCACGTTTTGAAAGATAATTCCAGATTTTCTCCACCCCAAATATCGAATCCGTCATCGTACGTGCCCAGCTTTTCAAAAAATGCCTGAAATAAAGCAAATATTTGTGGTAAACCTTCGTTATTTATTTGACATAGGTGCCGTTTAAAAAAATTGCTGCGATTGTAATAAGTAAAAGAAGAGAGGACAATAAAAATGTCTATAAATGTTATTGCGCGTTAAGAAACATATGGACAAAGATTGTACGTTAATGTTAATACTAGTAGTTGTATATTATAAAATTTTGAGTTTATTATTATTTGAGCGAGTTCAAAAGCTCTGTAGAGAAGTATAAGTAGGTATATCTATAAAGAAAAACCCCCAAAACAAAATATATTCATACCTTATCGATACTAAAAAGCCCCCCGGCCATCGTAGGGCTCCAAACCGGTTCCGCGGTATTCTTATGCCGCTTTTTTTCATGTTCGGGCACGGCATGCCAATTGAATTGTAGATTCCAATCGAAACCTCCTACATTGACTCCGGTACTATCGTGGTAGTGGTACTCCATTGTAGTGTCGTCGATAACGTCGATTACAGGACATACAACCGTGGTTGAATCTCTAGCTATCCTGTCTAGAAGAGGCTCCAACCATCCGGTAGCGCATTCACAATGCGAGTCGAGGTACGTGAGGACTGAACCCGTAGCACGTGTCGCCCCTATTAAATAATAATAATAATAATAATAATAATAATAATAATAATAATAATAATAATAATAATAATAATAATAATAATAATAATAATAATAATAATGTTTATTCAGATAATACATTGATACATATACAGTTAAAAAAAAAAATTGAATAAACAATAGGGGGCAATCACAGAAGCAGTTTAAAACTGCTTGTATGTGATAAGGCACATATACAATACATACAAAGCATATATGTCCCTATAAAACCCAACAACATAAATTTAAATAATTTTTTAAAATTAGAACAAACCTAAAAAAATATAAAGTGCAAATACAAATTAGATTACAAATAACAATTAAAATATTAAAAATAGAAAGATAATATAAATAAAAACATAAAGAAATAGACCAATCTTATTATCGTGACAGTTTTTATGGAGAGAAAGATACATATACATATTTTTAAATTTTAAAATTTTTAAATCTGATTTATAGCATCACTTGCTAATTTACGCTTTTTTTTTGGAGCCAGATTTTTAGTTTATTTTTGTATCTGCTGTACAAAGAAATGTCCTTTATTTTATATAAACAAAAATTCTAGGAGCTAGATAATCACTACATTTTTGGCCAATACTATTTTCAGATCGCGGAAATAAAATAGCATCAGGTCGACGTGTATTGTAGGGATGGTCATGAGATATTAATATAATCTTAGATTTCTTTAAAAATAATAATATCTGTAGAAAATATAGTTGTCTGATATCGTAGATATTGGAATCTTCGTAAAGTGCATTACTGGGGTATAAAATATTTTTTTTGTAAATTATTCTTAAAATCCATTTTTGTATTACATTAACATTTTTCAAAGTATTATCATACACACCTCCCTAACCAATGATACCGTATACTAATAAGGATTGTATTAAAGAAAAATAAAGAGACCTTAAGCAATGTAAGTTTAGAAAGTCACATAGATATCTAAATTTTGGTAGAAAACATCTTAACTTTTTACTTTCCTATCTGTATACAGATATAAGGAAAGTATAGGAATCATGATTTTTTTCGACCTCGAGTTTTCGACGGATTTTTACGTTTTGAGGTCCCCTGAATCCGTTTTGACTATTTTCGCGATGATGTCTGTGTGTGTGTGTGTGTGTGTGTGTGTGTGTGTGTGTGTGTGTGTCTGTGTGTGTCTGTGTGTGTGTCTGTATAACGCATAACTCATGAACCGATACACAGAAAAACACCAAATTTTAAACTTAAGCTTTGTTTCAGCGTCTAATGAGCTGATTAGATTTTGGGCAGAGTCGGAACATTTGGGGGGGTACTTTATAGGTGGTCATTTTTATATTTTATGGAATATATCTGTTATTTACGTTTGGAGAAGAAAATTCTTTAAATAAAAGTTACTTCTAATATTATTATCTATAATTTTTGTTCTATACAAAATTTTCCTAAAATGGTCCGTATTCGAGAAATTTGACAAAATGTAAAAAAAATATTTTTTTATAAAAATTGTTCAAATAAAAGTTGTTTGTAATATAATTATCTATAATCTTTATTCTCTACATAATTTCTCTAAAATGGACCGTATTCGAGATATTTGAGAAAATGTGTAAATTTCGAATTTTGAAGAAAACTCGAAAACGGATAAAGAAAAAAACATTAAATTTTAAACTTAAGGTTTATTTCGGCCTGACGTGAAATGATCAGATTTTGGACAAAGTCGGAACATCTGGGGGGGGGGGGGGGGGGGTACTTTATGGGAGGCCGTTTTTATATTTTATGGAATATATCTGTTATTAATGTTTGGAGAAAAAAATTGTTCAATAAAAGTTACTTCTAATATTATTATCTATAATTTTTGTTTTATGTAAAAATTTCCTGAAATGGTCCGTATTCGAGAAATTTGACAAAATGTGCAAAATTCTGATTTTTATGAAAGTTTTTGAAATAAAATTTGTTTGCGATATCGATCTCTACAATTTTTGTTTATACATGATTTTTCTAAAATGGACCGTAATGAAAAAATTGTAGGAAATTTAAATTTTTCAGTATTTTCGTTTTCCATGAATATCTATAGAAAAATGTTTCAAGGTAGATGTATGTGGACAATGTATATATTTAGTTTATCCTCTAAACATTTATAGAGATGCTGCAATAGGTTGTACAAAATAACCGGAAAAGCCTATAATATCTAGATAGGAAAGTCATGTGTTGGACACATCAGATTTTTTATTAGTTGTTTTAAGTGAAGGTCCCATTTCATATGCCTATCCACAATAATCCCTAAATATTTTATTGATGAAGATTCACAAACTTCGTTATTTAATCCCACACTTAATGGACCCAACATAGGAAGGCCTGTCGCATAAGAGGAAAATGGTAAGTATCTAGTTTTCTCATAATTTAATGTTAATTTATTAAACTGAAGCCATTTTGATATTTTAGGGAAATCAGTTTCTACTTTTTCTTTTAGGTTCCTCCATGAAGATGAAGAGTATAGAACGGCTGTATCATCAGCGAAACTTATTATTTTAGCGGATGTGTCTAAGTGTAGTAGGCTATTAATGTAGAGTGTGAAAAGAACAGGTCCTAAAACAGTACCTAGTGGGACACGATAGGTTACGATCTGTTTGTTACTATTAACATTGTTAATTTGTACTAACTGTTCTCTATTTGATAGGTAACTTTCAAAGATATCGAATGCTTTCCCACGAATCCCATATTTTTCTAATTTTTCCAACAATTTTTTATGACATACAGTGTCAAAGGCTTTTGAGAGGTCGAGAAAGATACTAAGTATAGGTGTTTTTTTATCTAATGCATCATATATAGTTGAAGTTAATTTATAGATAGCATCATCGGTCGATTTTCCCTCTCTAAAGCCATATTGATTATTCGATAGAATTTTAAACTTATTTAAAAAACTGCATAGTCTTTTTCATTATTTTTTCCAAAATTTTTGAAAAATTCGACAGAAGAGATACTGGTCTATAATTACCAATATCAAGTTTACTGCCACTTTTGTACAGAGGTTTTATTACAGAACACTTCAGTACTTTTGGAAAACACCCTGTATCTAGACTTTTATTTATTAAGAATGTTAATGGATGAATAATTTTACAAGCGATTTGTTTTATACTTTCTGCTCTTATTTGATCAATACCTGGCGATTTTTTGTTTTTAAGATTTTTTATGATTTCTAACACTTCTAACTGGTCAGTTTGATACATATACATAGTGTTTTCCAAGAAGTCTAAATTATCCTTATAATTCTGTAAATTTGGTATTTTATTGGCCAACACTTCGCCTATAGTGCTGAAATAATTATTAAAGTGGTTAGCAATTTCATCATTATCAGTAACCTTCGTACCATCAATTAATTTTATTTCATCAATTTTTGTTTCATGTCTCTGTTTTCCACAAATATCATTCACACAGTCCCATAAAGCCTTAGATGTATTTTGATTATTATTAATTTGTTGGGAAAAATATGTTCGTTTGGCTTTCTTTATTATATTATTTAATTTATTGTTATAATGTCTATACCTTTCTCTAATTTCAACATTTTCTGGATTCCGTAAAGTTTGTTTGTAAAGTTTTTCTTTTTCTTTTATAGATTTAAATAAGCCAGCTGTTATCCACTTTTTCTTATACGTTATTCGATTTTTTGTAAAAACTGTCATTGTATTTTTATTTATATAATGTTTTAATTTAGATATGAATCTTTCCCACATATCATCTACGTTTAGTTCATTATATATATCTTCTCAATTAACTTTATCTAAATCTAACTGAAGTTTTTTATAATTTATAAATGTTTTAGTATCTCTAATGCGTTGTTTATTATTAGTAGTTTCATTTTGAAATGTCAGCCCTATAGGACTGTGATCGGTAATGTATTGTCTAAATATAAATGATTTTATGTTAATACTTTCTGCACTCCATCGACTCTTGACCCAAAAATGATTCAAACATGTTTTACTTGGTAATCTTGTGTACTCATTAATGTATGATGTGAAACCATGATAACTTAAAATGTTTTTATATTCCTCAATATATTCACTATCAGACAAAAGATTCATATTTATATCTCCCGTAATTATATTAATGTCACTTTTAGAGGAGCTATCCAAATAATTCAACAGCTCCAAATTAAAATCGGATTGCGAAATACTAGGGGAACGATAAATAGCTGTGATATTTATATTATTTTTAGAAGATGTAATTTTAATGTTTAAACCTCTAACTTCACCTATATTAATGTTTTTAGATTCATATTTTAAATTATTTTTAATAAAACATAATACTCCGTCGTTTCTATTTAGTTGTCCTTCACTATATAAAGTGTCATAATTCGGAATTTGAAACAAATGTGGATCATACAGTTGGAGAGTTTCTGTTAGTATAATGAGATCAAATTCAACAGATACATTATCTAACATTACAAATAATTGATCAATATTCTTTTGTACACTGCGAATATTCATATGAAAGATTTTGAAATCATTTAATGAGACATGTTTTTTAAAGTTACTAAGATTATAAATTTTTTGGGTAGCTACTGGTTCAATATCACACTGTTCAATAAATTGGTCCATTTTTTACATAAAATATAATTACAATATTACTACTTAATTATTTACCAATATAAAAACTATTGAAAACATAAACGAAAATAATATTTTTTATTTTTGCCTTTTAGTACTCCTGGTACTCACTGGACTAAACTTAGCTTTCTGTTGTTTTCTTTTCTTTGAACCAGTACTCTTTTCAGTTTCTTCCTCTTCTACTTCTTCTTCTTCAAAATCGCTTTCCTCTTCACTTTTTTGTTTCTCTTCTAATTGTTCCACCGAATAAAATTTACCATCAACAATTAGTTTCAGCCCCTTAATTTTGGCATCAAAATTTTGTATTCGAGCCGCTTTTTGGTGTTTTCGCAATATTTTTATCTTCTCTCTATCTTCATTCGAAAGATCATTTGTTATTGATAAACCCTTATCATTCAGTTCTTTGAGTTTTGAGGAATCTTTGAATAGTGAAGATTTGTTTAAATACGATACAAATTCCACGAGTACAGGAGCCTTGTTAGTTTTTCCTAGTCTATATGTATTATTTATGTCCTGTGTTTTTAAATTACATGAAAGATTTTCGTTTAAAATTTTAATGCTTTTTTCTAAAATATTTTCTGCTTCTTCTTGTTGGACCCCAAATAGTATAATATTATTTTTTCTCACTCTTCTCTCTAATTCTACATTCTTTTCTTTTAAAATCTTAATTTCATCAAAAGCTTCATCTAACCTTTCATTCAAAGAATTTGTGACGCTTTGAAACTCTGTTTTTATTTCTTCAGTTTGATCACGATTTGCTTTTAAAAATAACTCATACAATTGAGAAAGCTCCGGTGACAACGTACTTAAATTTGCCATTTTCCAATATCAAAGCATCGAAATGTTTAGCTTTACTGAAGTGTATGGTCACCTTTATAATCGTATATTCTAATTTAAAACCGGTACTTGTGATTAATTGATAAATAATATATTATAGGAGTTTTTGCTGGTGTATTTATTTAGTTTGCTTTATAGGTTATTTTATGGTATTTTGTAGATATTTTTCCACAATTGAAAGATTTTCCAAATCTTTGGATAAAATGTTATTCTGTATATGCTAATCTTTTGCGTTGATATATTCTTTGTAAATAAAATTTGTACATACCAGAGAAAATTTAGGTTTTACAGAGAGCAACACTACGGTACAAACAATATCTTAGGCAGACCACACATCATCCACCAAATAAATATACAATCTAGTTATACTGTATCTACAGCTGAAAGCCAAATTTTTATATACATTGAACTGTTTAAGAGCTTACTTTAGGAGATAGAGGATGTTAAAGTGAAATAATTTCGTTCCCTAAATGCTACAACTAGGTAACTTGTACTACTACTAATACCAGTAGAAATTCATTCTAAATTTATTAAATAATTATTATTTTTATAGAAATAGTAAGAAATACATTGATGTTCGTCCTATAGAACACTAGAATTATAATCGGAATCTATGTTGACTTACCCAGCAATCTAGCTCTAATCAAACCTTCCCTTTTAGAAGCTCTGACTACCTTTACTTTGGGCTCGTCTTTCCAATAATCTTCCAACTGTTTTTTGGTGTGCGGCATATCGGAAAAATCATCGACGAGAATAACTTCGTGGATGAGGCTTCGAGGAGATCTGTCTAGAACCGAATGTACCGTTCTGAGAAGTACCGACCACGCTTCGTTGTGGAAGCAAATGATTACCGAAGTAGATGGAAGTTTACTGTTGTCTAATAGACGACCTTCTGCTTTACACCTAAAATAAAAATGTAACCGTTTTGAGCATTTGTAATTGTATGTATGCACGTGTGTTGACTAAAGGTAAGGGACATTCGGTATATCACATCTCATTTTCTAGAATTTCGTCTGGTAAAAACCCCTAAAAAAACCTGCAGGTTTTATTTTTGTGCAAAACAAGCAATTTTTAATATTTTCGGGCGCCATATTAGATTCGCCATTTTATATTTTTAATATATTCAAAATCCCCTTATAAACCCTCCTGGTTTAATTTTTATGTAAAACAATTTTTAATAATTTTCGGGCGCCATGTAATTTAAAAATGTAATGTTGCTTTATTTCGAAGGAACTTCAAGACACCAAAAATGATATTTTATGTATTTTATTTTTAAAAGATTCAATTCAATCTCTTACTTTTAATTTTCTGACGAAATAAATTTAATTGTGCAGAAATTTCTAAAATAAAACGAAACACTTAACTAATGGACGGATAAAATTGGAAGTAACAGCACACAAAAAAGAACATCTAGTCCTGTTCTTCGCGAATTATATGCTTATATTGCATGATTAGTAGCAGTGTGGATGTGGGTTTAATCGGAACGTGATCTAATAAATACAGGAAAAGGGTGTGAGGTTCACTTTGATGTAACACTAATTGATGTCGTTATCTGAATTTCTCTTTGGAGGTCTGTTTCGTTTGCTTCATGTCTCGCGAACACCAAATGCACACCTGAATCATGCTGATGAATTTTCTATGCCATTAGGAAGCTCTTAGATAGTCAATGGCGTAGACTAGTATTATTATTATTTATGAATTAGGAATGTCCCTATGCTACTGGAATTAATTACTCTAGAAATATTCAAGTATTACTTCTAATATATATTTGCTCCTAGAGACGTCTCTGTAATCTGCACTGTCTTGGCCAATAAAGAAATTCTCCGATAAATAAATACGTCACAAGCGCCATCTACTCCTCAGGGGGGCTATTTTCAAACTCGAGAGAAAAGTCACACATCAACGTAAAACAGTATTTTTAGGGCTCTTAGAGTCAGTGTGAACTCATTGACTGTGTTTCTCCAAAGAATTTTAATCCTCGAGGCCTTTAAAAACTGCATTAACATATGATATTTCTGATGAGAATCTGGAGAGAAATGAGTGTTCCCATACTTTGAAAATAGCCCACCAGCTCGTTTGCACGCTTCGTTCGCGTTACTGCTACTAAAACAGTTTGCAGCAATAAAAATGGACGCTGTGTCCGCCATTATGTAACTTTTTATTTCTCAAGTAACATGGCTTGAAGTAACAGATGCTGTAAATATTGTAAAAAGTATTTATTCATAAGTAAATTATGTATAGAGTTGAAACAAATCATTCCATTGGTGTTTTAATATCAGAAGTATTCTTTTAATCCAAGTATCTACATCTTCTAGACCTACGGATCACACAGGTATTTCAAACTTTCTTATTTCTACAGCCCACGAATTTAGTTAAGGGTCAAATATGGACCTATTTTGTATATGGCGTGAAAACAATGATATATCGGTGTGACCACTACACTGATTTAAAAATAATACAGTATATTCTTTTTGATACCTCTATTTTCACCAACACATTATCATTTTTACAAATTTGTTTGGAAAGGCACCTTTTTATCACTTTTGAAACTGTCGAATCTTATGTAAAATAAAGTAATTTTAAAATAGTATAATTAATATTTTAAAATACTCACCATTCGTCTCTCGGATCTGGCAAACTTCTATGAACACTCATTAAATCGCTCGCGTACTGATTGAATGCGTTGTTCATCCATCCTTCATCGACTAATTTTTTGATATCAGCTGCAACAGAATATAAAAATTAAAAACAATTTATTATGATTATCTTTTTTTATTTTTGTTTTGTAAAAACTTTTCGGCAATAACAAGACTCATGATAACTTTTTGGTGGCCAAAAGTTAAGCATAAAACAGCCCTCAATACCATCTCAGGAGTACAGAGACTGGCATGCCTATGTACTACAGGAGCACTGAGAAGTACACCGACAGCCTCTATGTAAATCATTCTAACTCTCCCACCCCTTGACCAAGTCAAAAACGGTTAGGCCAGAATGAGTGCATACAGACTGGAAATCACCAACTGGAACCCACTGGGACATATAAAACATACTAGAATAACACATAAAGTAAATGATTTTATATTAAACATGACACCCCTTCTAACTTTCAACAGACTCTTCCAGATCAACTGCAACTGGAACGAGGTAAATAAGAATAGATAAATACTTGCTTAGGGGTCTCATATGGTATACGGATGGATCTAAAACTAACAATGAAACAAGCTCTGATGTACAAGAAGTTAAACCCAAATGCGACATCATCGTCTCACTGGGAAAACATACCACACTGTATTTCAGGCTAAAGTACATGCAATCTAATTTAAGAAGGAAGTACAAAAAACAAACCATCCTAATTTTCTCAGACAGCAAGCAGCCTTAAAGGTTCTTGATTCAAACAGAATCAAGTCAAAGCTTGTCTCAAACTGTCTTGGTATACTAAATGATCTGGCATCCCTCAACAAGGTAAAACTAGCGTGGCTACCAGGACACAAAAGTATCCAAGGAAAAGAAAAGGCTGATGAACTCGCCAAAGAGGGATCAGATCTACCATTCACCTGTATTTGGGATAACCAAAGCCTCTGCTCGACAGGCAGTGACCAGATGGATGATCATAAAACACCAAATTCATACAGATAAGAGGGCATGGAATCAGTAAGCAAGGCCTCAAATATTCACCATTGTGGGATTACTAACGGGGCACTGCTTGCTGAATCACCTTTATGTGATAAAATTATACAATGATCCCTCTACATGTAGACTTTGCATGGAATAGGAAGAAACCTCCTACCATGTGAGCTTCGAATGCAAAGCTCTTCATCCTTTTCGGCCTAGAACTGGAAATAACGCCCCAGAAACACTTGGTAGGGAATTTATTAAAACTATTTCAAAGATAGTACCTGAATACGGGGATAGCAGGGGAATACAATAGACCCAGGAGGCCGCAGTGTTCTGGACCGTAGCAAAGATAAAGATGATATTTTTAAATGGTTCAAATTTGTAAATTTATAATGTAATGCCAGTTGAAAAAGGAAATATTGTTCTGACAAGGTTGTAACATCTACATTTCAATTTTTGAAAGTGCCAAAAATATTGTTAAAGTGTTTTTAAATGGCTAAATCTTTTATCAACATAATTACAATTGTCAGACTGCTACATATTGTAAATAAAGAGATTTTGAAATTAAAATGAAAGGTTTAGTACTTTTTTACACCACCCTGGTTGTACAAATTAAAAGTGAACTAGTAGTCACGTTCAGGATATAAATTTTATAAGAAATTCAAAATTTGACGTATTTATCATAAATCATTTTTGGATAAATGTTTATAGTAACTAGCTGTATTATTTCACCTATTCAATATACTGTTCAAATATTCACCTCTAATATAATATTTTTTTAATTTCGTTTATTATGAAGACAAATTAAAAAAAAAACGTTTTGACATACCTGATAAATTCGTTGGTAAAACAACAGCCTTGCCCATCTCTCCTGCGACATTATTAGGAGGTACTAACACACCACTATAGTCATCAAATTTCTTCGCAATGGAATTCGATGATTCTTCAGCTCGTTGCGCGTCAGGCCTAAACGGTACCACCCGATCTGGTACATTATCTTCGTTCCGATATCTTCCACCTTCTAATGGCAGTGCTATCCTTTCTTCTGATGACCGCGAAGAAGAGTCTCTACTGTCCGTATAAAATAAAAAAGCTATCGTGAACCACGCGGTACTCACTATCACTGCTAACTTTAACAGAAGCGACCTCTTTCGCCATAGCACTCCCATTTCGTTAAATTAAAGACTAAACTAAGCGAATCCACGTTGACTAGAGATACCCACTTTAAAAAATGAATTTTATCTATATTTGAATGTAAACATTTTTGATAAAATGACACCTTTAAATCAGATAACGGTCTCGTGTATCACAGTTGTATGGACATTTCTGATATGTGTGCATTGGTATTGCTGACGATTGAGTCTGGGATTTCTTCTTGGATATGTTCATACCTGAAACAACAATAATAATTAAGGTTATTTTAAATCCATGGCTAAAGCAGACAAAATCAAATATTACTTAAAAAAACACGCATTATATGCTAATCGATCAGATGGTGATGATGAAGTTATTTGGAATGAATGATACATTTTATCTAGGAAGTAGTGATAAGATATCATTTAATACCTGTTTAAATTAACACAGTGTGATCCAAAGAAAACGTTTTTAATACTTTTAACTTGTTTATTACTATTTTTTTTTTCAAAAGAACAGACATACAGTTAACTTTAAGAAAAATTAAAATCTTTAAAAAATTGTTGTGTTACTGTCTAAGCAAGTGACTAAATATTTCAGTGTAATCACTTCCAGGGTACCTTGGTGGAAAAAATCCGGGATCAATGGTTGTCATGGCAATATGTCAAAATAAGATTCTTGCATTGGTCGAAAAATGTTGGTGTGAAATTTTTAAATACAGTTCATCAAATTTCTAGAGGTGTTCGACGCCCAGAGAGAGAACGCGCTACGTGTGACTAAGATAGCTATTGTACAGTCTGCTAAACAAGTTATTTTAAATAGTTTTTAATATTTTTAGGTAATTAAATTTTAAAAGTGTGGAATAGTTTAGGGATTAAATTGGTCTGATTGGACTTTCTTAGAACGTTTTTAAAAGCAGCTAAAGATAGTATGTAGAATTGAAAATAATATTATGCCATAAAAGGTGTTTTGGAATTCCTTCAACCTTTTGAAATTGAGTCAGAAAATATAAATTTTATAGGATAGCGGAAAATACCTATAATTTTTTTGTAGGCCTTTGTAAATCGTAGAAATAGTTTATATTTTATTTCTACCTTATTAAGGAAAATGGTACCTATTATTAATAACGGTTGTTTCTGAAACATTACTAAAATTTTCGAAATTTTGTTTTTCTACAAAATAATAAACTATACTATTTAGAAAAAAATTTATTTCTCTTATAATTTTATAAAAAATAACAGGGGAATATTTACATTTCTTGATCTATTAAACAAAACGATAAATTATCTCGACGAATGACACCATGTTCTAGTACGGAAGCTAGCTTTACATTTTTGTTGGTGGTTTCATGGGTTTCATATCAATTTTTTGTAATTGTAGTTTACACGTACATATACCTCTTAACACTTGTTTGCTTTATTAAAAAAGTGTGTTGTTGTGATTTACGTCGAAATAAGTCAAAAACAACTTGAAACCCCATATAAAATCAAAAAGGAGAAACGGAAAAAAATTGAGCCTGTAAATGAACACAACTCAGAAACAAAAATAGCTATCTAATAATAAAAAAATAAAATTTGATTCTTGTGCATCTTCGTTGTAAAAATAGATAATACTTTTTTGATCTTAGGTACAGATATAATTTTAATGGTCTTCCGAAAAACTTTCTTCAGTTTCCATATCAGATTCAAAATCAGTCTCACTGTCACTGTTTAAGTTAATTATAAATCTATCAGTTGCCTCATCCAAAGTAACTTCTCTGTCATAAAATTTAGATTCCCACATTTTAGCATTATTACAACGAGATTGCCACTCCTCTTTAGAAAACGTATCAAAAAAGTCTTCACACAACAGTTGTACGTCTTGCCTCTTAAATGTAGTGTTGTTACTAGCTACATATTGTTTCAATGATGCCCACACTAATTCGATCGGATTAAGATCGGGATGATACGGTGGCAAACGCAAACAACTAAAACCATGTTCATTTATCATTTCTTCAATTGCATACCTCTTAAATCGTGACTTATGCAATAGCACTAAACTGTATAATTGCGTTTTGAGCATATCCTCTTCGTAAGCAATATTATGATTCCTTAACCAATCCTGCATGTCAGCTTTTTTAGAAGTTGACGTTGGTGCATTATTTACCTGGACATTATGGTAAGGAGCATTATCAACAATAATGACGCTTCTTGGAGGGAGGTTCGGAAACAGCTTTTCTTTCAACCATTTAGAAAAATTATTCAAATTCATTTCATCATGGTAGTCTCCACTTTTGGTTCCAGATTTGAAAATTAATCGGGCATTCGGAATAAAGCCCATTTCACCTCCTGCATGGACAATAATTAGTCTATCACCTTTATTAATTGGTTTCTTTAATCCCTCATTTGAATTATCACTCCAAGCTTTCTGGTGTGTGTGGGAGGCATGAATGTATGTTTCATCTAAGTAGACAATTGGACGGCCCTCTGCTCGATAACTTTTTAAACGAATCAGATAGTCTAAACGTATCTTTTGAATATCAAACCTTTCCATTAATATTTTTCTGTTTGTTTTTGTTTTCCGCCAACGAAATCTTAGCGACTTTATTATTTTTCTTAAACTTTCATAGCTTCCTTTGTACCCTGTAGCTTCTCTAAATTTAGTCAGAATTGTGTTTAATGTTGGAACAATATTTTCCGAGATTAACATGAACAGAATAATTCTTTTTAAAATACCTTTGTCAGCTTCATCTATATCATTAACTGTTTTTGGTTTTTTAATGGTTTTTCTTGGTGATGAAAATTCCGATATCTCACGGTTATCGATTCTTTTTTTCTCTCCAGAAATGCGGACGACAGTGTTTTTAGATACTCCTGTGGCTGCAGCAACACGATCATTTACATTTTTAAATGGTATTGAAGGTGAATTAAAGTTTCCTTCTCTTCTCATAAACTCTATAACATTGGCTATTATTTCGCGAGATTGACTGTTAATCACGCGGCCTCTTAATTTGCTATTAAACTCCATACTTAGGTTCTATTAAACTGTAATGATCAAAAAACACAAACGAAAATAAAAGAAATGTTTTAGCGAAATTTACATCTGACATTTACGTCTGAATAAAATAGTGAAATACTTGATGCGCAGAGTGTACTTTCATTGCGTAAATCCGTCGGCCCCGCCAACCGATGCCTCTCAGTAGTGCTTTCTCTGTCTAGCCGTCGAAAGCCTCTAGAAATTTGATGAACTGTACATTCAAATACACATTTCCAAACACATTACCTAGTAGAAAAAATAGCAAATATTTCTGTCCACATATTCGAATTTAGTGAACGTTGGAAATAAACTTTTCGAATTTTCCTGGGGATTTTCGTCTGCCCGTTAGCGAAGGTTTTGGAGATTAACTTTTCCATTACGAAACAAAGTACGTTCATTCGAAAAACGAATATTGAATAGTAAATTTAGATTACCAGTTTTAATTTCGTTAACGACTTTCAAAATTGTTTGCGTTGGTCAAACTCATTTTTTTTTTATTTAATTCGTGTACTAAAATATCAATTTTACTGTTTGTACTAAGAAAAAGTGATAGATGGTGTGTTGAAATAATTACATAAGCTTCAAGTAAAGGTTTATTCATAATTTTGATTTAAAACGTACTTTAAGTAGAATTAAAACTGAAAAATCTTCAAAATGTTATGTTTTACAGAGATCAACCAAGAGTCCCTTTTATGTAACAAAATTATTGTTATAAAAATGAGAAAAACCAAACATGATTGAATTTCAAAAACACTTTTATTTAAAAATTAAAAGTTACACAATGCACATTAGAAGGGAAAGTTGTAATTTGAAACAATTGATTTTATATTTTTTAAGTGTTTAAGAAAATAATTATTAATCTTAAATTTTAACAAGTTTGGATTAAAATTTTCTTAGCCCTTCATTCTACGCCAATGGGTCATTATAATTTATATAAAGTGTTAACTAATGATGACGATTAACTAACATTTACATATCTTTAAATTAAAGTCTTTACTATAAGAAAAGACACTTAGAAAATTAAGTATTTATGAAATTCACTTTATCACTCTGTATAATGAAAACTGTGGTGTTTATATGGAAATTATACTTATCTTTTTACAGTATTTTATTCTAAAACACCCTGTTTATGTAATTTTATATTGTTAAATATGATTATACATTTAGTTTGAATACACTGTACAGAGGAATATTTTTATTTATAAATTATCTGACAATAGTTTTACGGTTTATTAATTATTACGTAAGTAAGTAAAGGTTTGAAAAACATTAGGGTTAAGGTTAATTTAAGACTTAATTGTACGCATTAAAAAATTGATGTATGGTAATAAGAAAATTTAATGATTAGATTAGATTTACTGCTTTGTGCTCCTATAAAAAAATATTTATTTGTGACATGCAACAAACCAATTTTTAGTAATTTTATATATCTAATCTTGGGTATGTTTGCGCAAGCTAATGTACAATAGTAATGTATGCACAAAAGCTGATTCTAAACATTATTTATTTATAAAATTTAAATTTTTTAATAACCAGCCATTATGAATAGAATTTTTCTAAATTTGAATCCGTTATTATCCATTTTATATTTATTTTCTAATCTCATATTTATAGAATTTAATTTAAAATGATAATAATTAAATTATCGAAAATTTTACTGGATTTGTAATGTTAAAGATAGAACGTTTCATTCAAAATGAGTTTCGAGTAAACACTTTTTTTGTAAACATACTTTATATAAGTCAATTTTAAATATATTTAATAATAATACCCCAATTATTAATACTACGTAAAGCTTGGTCAACATATGTTCAATTTAAAAAAACATTTAAAAAAATATTTACTCCCAAATATACACAAAACATTATGGTTTAATTAAACAGACTTGTCTAGTATTGTTAAACAACTTTATTTATGAATTTACATGTTTGTATTAGCTTATCTTACATCTTTAGTTGTAAAAAATATAATTATTATTCTCTTAGGAGGTTTAATATCTAATTAAAATTTCGTGTTTGCTTTTGTAATTACTCTTATATCAATATTATTTGTAAATAAACTTAGCCAGAATTGAAATTATTTGAAAATTTGCCAAGTATGGCATGTTTAAAGTATTAGTTTTGATTATTATAGCATTTCCATGTTATCCTAATAAATAAAAAATAAAACGAATACATGTTTTGGAATAAAATTGCTTTCCACGTCTCTTCCTTTATTTTTAGATTACCCCCAAATTTTTATT